TAGTTTTATAAGGCTACGTTTACATTTAACCGGATTTCGTTAACCCAGTGGGTTTCAATTGTCATTTCCTTTGCATATATGTCAAATAAATCCTCATAAAGTAGGTTAACCCGGTAAAAAGTTCTAATGAATATACCGTTTTATTGTTCTTTCATAATTTTTATTTGAGCATTTTCTAAGCAACTCATCAGGCAAATTTGGCTATGTGGATTTTCCATAATTTTGAATATTTTTTTCTGGAAAGACAGATCGTGACACAAAATGTCTGTTTTTCCTCCAAATTAAACTCGACTTAATTATTCCGATTAAATAATAATCGTCATAGAATAAGTATTGTGTAGATATTTTTCATAAAACTAATACACATATTTTTGTAGTCATAACATTCTCCCACTCCCTGTAATCCAGAATAATTATTTGTTCACAAAGGGGAATTTTCGTTTTCGAACATGATTCAGAATAAGGGGAAAGTGAACATGCGAGATCTGGTTCAGAATAATATTAAAGGGAAGAGCGAATAAATTCACAGTGAATTAATGTCCAGAATAAGGCTGTATAAAAAGTATTTCTTCAAATTCTAACCATGAACAACATTTCTAAAATTATTTATTACATGTTTTGATTTAATAATGAATTTAAAATATTTAAAGTTTTCTTCCCTTTTTTAATTTTGAATATATACACTTATTTACAGCGTATGGGGGCACCGGTAAAAAACGAAAAATTGGAAACAAATTTGCAACGCCGTTAAATTCTCCGTTGTCTATTCCTCAAACACCAACATCACTAAGGAACATGGCGGTATCTGATTTCAATGACACACCAACGTTGTCAGAAAAAATACATCAAAATGATAATTTTTTAGAGAAAAGTAACCGAACTGAGAGCGCAAATCAGTTCGGTGTTACGAGCAACCCAACAACACAGCATAATGATTGTATAATTTATCAAAATCGTTTGAGTGATAATAGCGACAGTGACAATGAACAAAGAAATTCACCACGAAAACAACAACAACAACAGGAAACAAGATTGGAACATAAACAACATGCAACTGTATTGCCAATGCCACATAATACGAATAAATGTCACACATCCACAACACCTAATAATATTCCAATGAAATCCATTATGGATTCATCAGTCAATTTAACATTTGGAAGAAGCAATGATAAAACACTATTGAAGGAAATAAATAAAAATCAAAAATTTACTACTTTACAAGATTTGAATGATGTGTCATCTTCAACAATGTCGCGTGATTCTGAAGATCCTATCATCTTACATAAAGAATCATTGGAAACAGCAAAAGAAATATCCGGATATACAACAGCATATTCTCCACCCTGTTCCTCGTATTGGAACTCTTTACGAAAATTTAAAAAATGTGTACAAATACCGTCTAAATCTATTGCTTTAATTCCCCCCATTTCAGTACCAAATGCAAACATTTGCAATGAACTTGAAATTAGTTGCCATACAAAATGTATTTTCACAAAGGAAATGTTGAATGTGGTGGAACAAAGTTCTCATTTTATCGTTGCAAAAACTAACAAATATCTTTCCTCCAAAATAAACGTCGAGTCAAAAAATTTGTATATCAATTTATGTGATAATTTCAATTATAACAAATTATATAACAATATATATTCAAAGGAAACGACAAATTCCGATTTGACTCAGAATACACTTGCTGTAAGTAATGGCATTAGCATTCAACAATGTCCAGTATTGAAATGCAATTCAAAATATGATGAAAACCCAACTTTTAAAATAATCGATGAACGCAAGACAAATGTAGTCGCAAGAGACACAAATAATAATCAGATAAAGATGCCAACATGTTCTCAAACAATTGCAAATAACCTCAATACAAAAAATGGGCCTTTGGTATCGATGTCGGGAGCAATAGGTGATATCCTACACGACTATGCCCCCACACAGTATGGATCGGGCTTCGATGACAATAATATCAACTTTAACAAAGAAAATTCATGCTTGAAATTATCTACCCCAAAGCATAATGAATTCAGCAGTGAAGGTAATTTTTGTTGGTATTTTCAAATCAATTTTATTCTACATAATTTTCATGTACTTTTACTTTTAGCACTTCGATCATCAGATTCAAACAATGATTTTAAATTAGCTGGTATGTAATTATTTTTATTTGCTATAGAAAGACTTTTTAAAAATATTGCTTATTTAGAAGATGTACGAAAGGGACCTATTGCAGAGGAGTCGTATCGAAATATAGATGAACAACAATTACACGATAAAAATCTTACCATCTATTTTGACAAAATCAATGAAATAATTACTGAAATCAATGACAATTTTATTCAATCGATTGAACAATTCGGAGAACTGGAAATGCTGATATCAAACATGAAACAAATTAAAGAGAAATGACTAAAACAGTATCACTTACTTAAGAAAGTGTAAAGAATTCGAAAGGTAAGAAAATTGAGAAAAAATGAAACATATCTTTGTAACCTCCACCATAGAAATGCAAGCATAATATAGTTAACAAATTCCAACAAGAGATTGTCAGCCTTATTCTGGATATTCGCTAGGGGAAAATTTCACTTGTAAAAATAATTTCGCTTTCGCATTCTCGCCTAATTCTGAATGAATAGGGAGAAGCAAAAAATGCGGATTCGAAATTTCGAAAATGGTGGTTGAAAAAATATTCGTGTTGCCATATTGTATATAATTTTAGTTGTAATGTGTGTTGCCCCATTGTAATTTAATGGTTTAATATTTTTCAATATTTTATTAATTGATTTAACTGTATAACAATATAACTGCTTTCTAATTAAAAGAAAATAAATGAAAGTTTGAAAATATGGCAACATACAATATGGCATGTGAAACAGCTGTTTATTGTTTTGATGTAATTTGGTGCAAAAACTACAACAGATTACAAATAAAAAACAGTTATTGTGCGAAATTTTTCGCTAAAAATTGGAAGGGAGCTGACTACAAAAACATAAGTAATAAATATTTTTATGAAAAATATCTACACAAAACTTATTTTATGACGATTTAGAAAATTATAAATGATTGTATGCCAATTTTTAACTCGAAAAAAAAAAAATATTTCCACGGAAGTTTAATTTGCCACGTTAGGAATTTGGAGAGATAAAATATCGATATTAAATAAAACAATAAACAGCCGTTGCCCATGCCGTTGTATGTTGCCATATTTTCAAACTTTAATTTATTTTCTTTTAATTACATAGCAGTCTTACAGCGGATTCTTAACATTTCACAATAAAAAGTAACAATTTAAAAAAATAAATAAATTAACAAAATATTCAAATTATTACAACAATAAATTACAATGGGCAACACGTTTAAAGTTTTCACTCACTAAGGAGGATCATTGTGACCGACATAATGCCACTGTTGATCTATGCTGAAAATTAAACGTCTTCTCTATGGTGGAAAGTTCGTTGTGATCGAACGTAACGCTTTTTTAATCGTTGTATTTTTTTATAATCTATTTTTCAGATGTCAAAAAATATCGAAAACATTTTAGAGGTTCTACAAACGGATGATGCCAATTAACTAAATGAGTACAAATGTTTGATATCCCATTTTAAAAATTTTGAAAAAAATCTTCGAGATACGATTTTGGAAAAATATTTAGAAGTTCTAAATATTTAAGTTTTTTTTTCACAAAGCATTTGAAAACAAAATAAACTTTGTAAAAATGAAAATCTGTTGTTTTTTTTTTACTTTACTGTTACTAATTTCAGTAGAAACACTACTGGGTGTAGGTGGTCTAATTGGGATGTCATGTTTTCAAATGCAGTTTCTTGTTTAAAAATCTTCGGATCTCGCTACAGACCCCCATCAGTTCTCCAAGTTTTCAGTTTTTTTTTTTTTTTTTTGAGGTAAGAGCTGAGACGCAATTGTATTGAGTTTAGAGTATCACAGTCCTAACAAATTATTGCAGCAATAATTACATTTCATAAATAAATATTCACAACAGTTTAGAGGTTTTCAAAAATAAAAATATATATTTGATGTCTATTATTATTAATTCAGATGTTAAAATAATTTGAGAGAAAGACTAGAAGATTTAGATAACCAAACAAACACAAAGAGGTACCTAGATAAATGGAAGAGGCAAAAAATAAAACGTGCTATTATTAAAATATACAATTTAATGCATAAATACTTGTTCACACAACAAAAAAATGACATGTTAGTTACAATTGGGTAAATAAGAAGACTATTTCAGTTTATGTTTTTTTTGTGATGGATGGTAGAAAATGACGTGCTTTGTTTCTTAAAAAATATTTTGAATCTAAATCGAGATAATAGAAAAAAATTAATAATTAAATAATTATGAAAAAACTACTAGATCATTGTGATAAATATAAAAATGTGTTTAATAGAAAAGAAAATAATTTATAATAAAAAAAAAATAAATAAATTAAACATATTGCCTAACAAAATTATATAAATCAAATACAATGTATAATAAAAGATCCTGTGATAGTTTTTCTTATTTAGCGAAACAAAAACAAATATATATATATATATATATATGCATTATTGTTTAGTAACTCCATTACAAAACATAAGTCGTTATATATTTTTTTTTAAATATAGATTCGTACGTAGATTCTTTGTATACATATAATATATGACCCTATAAATAAATATTGCGTTTTATAAAAGTTTCCAATTTACTTAAACTAATTTCATTTATTGCATTATGTTTCGTTATTTTTGTTTTTTGTTATAGTTTCTATTCCTTTTGTTTTTGTTCTTCTAAACACCAATATTTCGAAACAATACAAAAAGAAGAGTTTTTTTTTTGTTTTTGGGGGGAAGGGAGTATAAGATCGCTATATTAATAGCCGATCGCTCCGGTTATAAACAGGGTTTTAGTTTATTTTCGATTTTTTTTGATAACGAAAATATAATTGGATTTCCTATTTTTTTTTAATCTGTGAGACATAAAAAGGAAGGGGGGTAATAGGGTGTTGTTGTTTTATTTCTATTCGTTTTCTTGTGTATCGTTATCCGTATTGTTGTCGTCAACTGTTGTAATATTACGTTTACCGGACGATTTAGCCAATTCCAAGTATTTATCGCCATCGAAACGATTACTTTCATCTTGCAGGTCCTATAGAATAAAACAAATTAATGAGATGTAGTAGTAAAAATACAAAGTTATATGTTTGTGATTGAATCTTAATTAAGTGCTACTTCAATTGGTGTGTTTCCTTCTTTATTGAGTCAATTGTGTTCAAAATAATAAAAAAAATCTAAATGTTTACATGGAAAACTGTAATAAAGAATTTACATCAAAAGCGTAAAAAATAAATTTAAATTGAAATAATAATCGAACATTTCCTAAATAAGAAAAGCTACAACTGCCGAAGAAAATAAAAATTATTTTTTTATTAACTTCTCTCCTTCCTGCATCACGTTCTACTAAAAGTTAGAATGTTCAGAGCCATGTCTCCATGAGCATCTACGCTACAGATTTGACTTTCTTCATTGCTGATGATTTATGTTTCTTGTTTAAGATTGCCAAATTATTTTATAGGCTAATTTTCACTAGAGTACAAATTGCATAGTCTTGATTTGCTAAACATATTTGATCTATTCCCACACTGCAAGAATTTTTACTATTTTTCGATATCACAATAAGAAATCTGTTTATAAAGTTATAAAAAAATATTTCCATACGTTTTTTTTCAGATGTTCAGCCTTATTCTGAACCTCAATTCACCGTGAATTTTTTCTCTTTTCCCTTTAATGTTATTATGAACCAGAACTCGCAGAGAGTTTTTTCGCATTTTCACTTTCACCTTATTCTGAGAATCAACTTCGAAAGCGAAAAAATCCACTTTGGGGAAAAATTAGTTATTGTGGATTACAGGAGTGGGAATATGTCATTTTGTGCGAAATTTTTCGCTATTAAATTTAAAGGGAAAATGGCTACAAATATATAAGTATTAAATATTTATATGAAAAACTATCTCTTATTCTATGACGATTTTAAATATTATCAGCCTTATTCTGGATGTCAATACCACGTGAATTTACTCGCTCTTTCCTTCGACTTATTCTGAACAATATTTCACAGTGAATTTTTCGCATTCTCTCTTTTGCCTTATTCTGAATCAAGTTCGAAAGCGAAAAAATCCGCTTTGGGGAAAAAATAGTTATTCTGGATTACAGGGAGTCGCAAATTTAAAGGGAAAATACTAAAAAATATAAGTTTTAAATATTTTTATGATAAATATCTACACAATACTTATTCTACGACGATTTAGAATATTATAAATGATTGTATCCAAATTTTTAACTCGAAAACAACAAATAAAATGCCATTGGAAATCCAATTGATTACGATGCATGCTCAACCAAATATTGCCACGGAATAAGGAATATTCAATCCGAGTTTGATATTTTTTTGCGCGAAATACAGAAATTTTGGGTGAGAATCTGTCCCTTAAAAAAAATTACAAATTATGGAAAAAGCACATAGCCAAATTTTCATTATAAGCCGCTGAATATCATTTGAAGAACAAAGTAAAGGATAAGGAGAATATCATAAAATAATTTGCCACTTTAAGAATTTGGGGAGATGAAATATTTAAATTAAATAAAACGACACACAATTATGTAGTGAAATAATAAATTGCGAATTTAATTTAATAGTTTAATAATAATTTAAATTTAATCGCAGATTTCTTCCCATTATTCGTGAAGTCTTCGACATCATTCAATGCGATTTTTGCCATCATCAACAAAATGTTATTTTATTTGTAATCTATTGTAGTTGTTGCACCAAACTACACTAAAACAATAAACAGCTGTTTCACATGCCATAGTGACAACTCAAACTATAATATGGCAATACGAATCTTTTTTCAAACACCTTTTTCGAAAATTCGTATCCACATCTCGCATTTTTATTGTTTTTCCCTATTCATTTTGAATAAGTCGAGAATGTGAAAGCGAAAAATTTTTTCACAAGCGAGATCTCTCCCTAGCGAATATCCAGAATAAGGCTGATTGAAAAATATTACAACATTAAATAGCAACACACATTACAACTTAAATTACAATATGGCAACACGATTTTTTTCAACCACTATTTTCGAAAATTCGTATCCACATCTCGCATTTTTTTTTTTTGTTTTTCCCTATTAATTTTGAATAAGGCGAGAAAGTGAAAGGTAAACATTTTCACTACCAAGATCTTCCCTAGCGAACATCCAGAATAAGGCTGATTATTAGAAGAACACCAACATTTTATTCAGTATTGTGGGAGGTTTTCAATCTGAGATATGTGATGTGCAATTTGGATTTTCTCAATATTCCACTTTGTTGTTTATAACCTTCATTAATAGAATTCCGGAATGTCTACCTATTTGGATATGTATAATTTGTTTATGATAGGAAATTACGTTCGCATTTATTCAAGTATTTTTTAGACGACATCCACGTGTATTACTTTTGATGTATTTACTTCAATTTTTAGTTGACTATAGTTTTGCGTAACAAACATAAGCCAAGTATATTATTCTTTCTTCTTCTTTTTTACTTTGTAATTGGAGCCAAATTGCAATTTAATGGCCAATTTATATACAATTACGAAGAATCCGCCGTATTTATGTTTAATACATATTTTTTTACGTCATTCTCCGTAAAAGAGACGAAACACACAAATTGATCTCACTTAGTCGAAGTAATAAATAATACAATAAAGAGATTAGGTTATAAATATATAGCATTAAAATGTTCTTAATCTTACCTTATACCATAAATGTTAATGCTTAACACACGTTTCATTTAATTTTGTTTTTTTTGTTATGAGACTAGCATTATTTGTACGAGAGACAATTATAAAAGGTCAAGAAGCATTTTAATGTGTTCTGTTACTCACTCTGCTCTCTCGAATAAATGATGGATGGACATGAACAACATGGTGCTGGTGAGATTAGTTGATGTTTTTGGGGTTAGAATGAACGAAACAAATAAAAACCAGGATGATGATGATGATGAATGTTAGGGCGAAAATGCTAGTAAGAATGATTTAATGCGTAACTAATAAAATGGTATTACAAAATGGATCTTTTCTGTTACCAACCCATGGCGCAAGGTGAACATACACATAACCCACCATAACCACACATACAACACACAAGAAAGAAAGCATTCAAATAATTATAATGGAACCAAAACAACCATTTTTTTTTTAATTTTTGATTAATAGTAGAAAAATAATGTTATTATGGATAATTTATTTGGTTTTCATTTCGTTTTTTTATTACCAAATATACGTTTAAAAAGTATTTTTGTAAAATACCCTTCATACAGGTAGGAGTTGGAGGAGAAAAAGTAATGGTGGTTATAATTTTAAGAACTTATTTCCTTCCATATAATCTTATTTTTTTTTTTTTGTTTTGTTTGAAACTAACACTCACACACATACCTTAAGGGATTTCGTACGTGTGTGTGCAATGTAAAATATATGTAGAATAAAATCATTAAGAATATAATTAAGAATATACATTAGGTGTTTGTTAGTTAATAGTAGTATTGATTAAGTACATAAATACATACATTTGTCGATATATATATATATTTTTTTTTTTGGTATTTTAAATAACATTTCTTTTTCTTTTTTGTATTTGTAATACACAAACAAAGAAATAATAAAAAATAAACAAACAAAATTCGACAACATATTTCATTCAGTGTTGATGTTTAAATTAATCTGTTTCACAGCCAAAACACAGATTAGTTATTAATAAAAATAATTTTGTATAGGGTAAATAATAATAACAAAGAGATTCGTATTCTTTTTGTTTTGCATCCTGTTACCTTTTTGTGAAATAATAATTGAATGATTTAAAAATTCACATAAAAAGAAACGATGGAATGAATGTTCGGAATATGTGTTTCAACACATTTTTTGCATGTTGTAATTTGCCCCACAACATTTTCAAAGTCAATTAAAATGATATTTTTGGCGTTCAACACCATTTTTAAAACTAAAAAAACATGAACAAGAAGCATTTTATTTTTCAAAAAAAAAAAAAAAAATGCAATTTGAAGCCTCAAAGGCCGATTTTAATTTAATTAATATAATTATGCCAATTTACGAATTATAACAGGAGAAATACAACAACGAACGGCTTTGCATTGCCGAATGTTGTATTTGAATAAAATCGTTTGTTAATATCTAATATCAATATTAAATGAAAATACAGATTGTATTAATTCTACGAGACTCATTAGATTATCGTGAGATCATATATATATTTGGTTTTAATTTTCGTTGAAGGACTAAATTTCAACATTTTTTTTTTCATTTATATCAAAGAACTAAATTTCTATGAAATCATATAATAGTTCATTGTTTATGTAAAAATTATATACTTATTAAAATGTGTGTGTGTTTTTTAGGAAACTAAAAAATTAATTCATTGTTAACAAATTAGATTGGCATTTTTTTAATAATATTTCGTTACATCTTTAATGTGTGTTCGAACTGTTTTTTTATATTTATTTATATTATATTTATTTTTCATAGCAAAAATAAATTTTTCATTTGAAAACTCGAAACTTTTTGAAAAAACAAAACGGAAACTGACAAGACATTTGAAATCTCTAATGAGAGTCCATTAATCAAATATCTTTAGTCACACGTTGAATATGAACGAAATTCATAACTTAATTTTGGACGTGATTGATTTTGATTTATTGTTGTGTTTGGGATATTTTCATTATTATTATCGTTGTTGTTGTTGTTAACAATTGTCGATGATGTGACAACATCAACAAATTGCACGTCATCATTTTCATCGACGTGGAGCTCTACTTCTTTTGCGGTGGCAACTAGTTCTATACCAACATTTTTATTTTCACCTGTTGCCGTCGTTGTTGCTGTTGTCAACATCTTAAGAGATTCCGAGGAGGATTTACTGTTGCCAGTTTTACTACTCTCTACCATAATATCGGATATTATTTTCATTTGTTTATTTAATAATTGTTGGCGAGTATTGACTTCGTGCTGTGGCGTTGACGAATTGTCATTCGAAGTGGTGGTTAGGGCAACATGTGTTGCAGACATAGGACCGGTGCGTAACGAAACTAATGCCCGATTTAAATGCATATTATTTAAGCGACCACTGCCACCGGTGACAGCAGTTGCATTCAGAAGGGGGCTAGTTTGGTGGGTGGGTGGTGACGTTGGCGTCTGTAACTGTTCAGGGGTTTTTATAATTGTTGCCTCATAGCTACCACCATCCTCATCAATGCTGTAGGTTAAACGATTAAAGAAACCTTTGCGTTTTATATTCAAAGACATGCCAGCACCGTATGGACTATTAAATTTAAATGGACTGGGTGTTGTGTTGGAATTAATGGGCTCTACACATTTCTCAACAATTGGTTCATGTTGTTGTTGTTGTTGGATATCAACATTATTATTATTGTTGTTGTTACTGTGCATATTATTTAAATTCTTAAAACTAAAACTGACATTATTATGTACAATATTGTTGTTAGTGACATTTGTTGTTGCTACTGTCGATCTTGACGATGACGACTCTATTTCATTTGTATTATTAATAACAGGTGTAAAGGAGGTGGTAGTGGTGTTGTTGTTGGTAGCAACCGCTGATGATGTAGTAGTAGTAATAGTAGAAGTGGTGGTGGTAGTAGTGGTAGAACTTGAATGTGCAGCAGCATTGTTATTGCAAGCAACACGTAGCGTTAATGATGATGATGGACAAGCTTTTAAATTGATATAGGGAGAGTAAGGAGTAGCAGTAGTGGAATTTGTGATAGCCGAGTTTACATTAGCATTACATGAAGCAACATGCGTAGTTGGTTGTTTTACCTTATTTCGAATAATGGCCGGGAATTTTTCACAGATTCTTTGCCATTCACTTGGCAGTGCCCAGGAATGAGGACTCTTGGCATAAAAGAGCAAATGTTCATACTGATGAACGATGCGTGCTATAAAACAATGTATATAGATAGAATATTTAAATAAATTTAGATCAACTCGAAGGTATGTTTGTATCTATAATGGAAATCAAATCGATACGTTCATCACATAAAAAAATGTTCATAGTTTCATTTAAGGTTAAGTATAAATTCGTTTTGTATTTATATAATTGAACATAATATTTTAATTTCTTATGGAAACTCGTCTAGATTCAATTACCATAGATTGCATACCAGAGGTGCAGCATATATTTTTGCAATTTCGAAGTATTTATAAATATAAACTAAAACCCGTAATTATTTGGAAATAATCACGAACGATCTACGAGTGTTACCAGACATAAGGAAAAGCAGCAAAAATCTTCTATCAATCGAAATAGTGTTCGATTTTCCCTTTATGAAATTGTCAACGATAACTGGCCATCATGTTTTTTTACAATTGTCACTATTACATACAAAGGTTGGAAAGATTGACATTTGATCTCATTGTCAGCAATGCAATAAAAATTTAATAAAAAATATCCTACTCCAATAATCCTAATTTACTAAACTGTGAATGGGCCACAGAAAGATTTCATCGGGAGCATATTAAGAATGTGATGCTACTATTCGAATGAATATTTTTTGTTGTCACAAATAATACGCTACCTATTGCGGCTTTATATTATAAATCACCAACAATTTTAAGAACCCCGATATGTGCCAACTATAGAGGAATACTTCTCCTCCCCATCGCATATAAAGTGCTATCCAGCGTTCTGAAGCCAATGGTCAATTGGACATTATTGGACCACGCCAAAGCGGCTTCTGATCTGGCAAATCAACCATTGACCAGATTTTCACTCTGCGCCAAATCCTGGAAAAGACACATCGACACATTTCACCTATTTGTAGACTATAAAGCTGCATTCGAGAGCCCTATACGTTCAAAGGTGATTAAAGCCATGTCTGAGTTCGGCATTTCTGCAAAATTAATACGGCATTGCAGGAAAACTTTAAGTGGGACATCAGGTCAGCAGTTAAAGTCAGAAAGGACCTCTCGGAGCCCTTCAATACTGAACGAGGATTGAGACAAGGTGACAGTTTGTCGTGTGACCTATTTAACATCCTGCTGGAAAAGGTCATACACCAAGCAACACATGTTACTCGCCTACGCCGATGACGTGGAACATTGCGAGCGGTAAGTCACCTTTGAACGAATTGAGGAGTCTGTCAAAGTGGGACTGGCAATAAATGTCCATGACCAACGCCAACAAGACGTCCAGTAGACTCGAACCACCTGTGGAACTTGAATACAAAAGCTACCTCGGGACCGCCATATAAAAAATAATAATAACATCAGCTTTGAAATCCGGAGGAGAATAGTGTTGGCCAACAGATGCTACTATGGTCTGAGTAAGAAACTAAAAATCAAGGCAACCTCTCGCCACACCAAACTCCAGCTCTGCAAGACACTGATATTACCCGTGCTGTTGTATGGATCTGAAGCATGGGTACTTGCGCAAGCAGATGACGCAGCTCTTGAAGTGTTTGAGAGAAAAATTCCCCGAAATATCTATGGGCTGATCTGCGTTGACGGTGAATATCGCCGGCAAATAAACCATGAGCTATAACATTTATTCTCGGCATCGACATAGACGGATCGAGCTACAGCAACTACATTGGCTAGGTCATGTTGTGAGAACGGATAAGGATATCCCCACTCAAAACAAATATAAAAGTGAGCCAAGTGATGGTTCACGCAGAGGGGGGAGGCCACAAATCCAATGAAAGGATCAAGCAGAACACATCTCGGAACAAGGTCTTTCAAATTAGATGAGATGCGCACAAGACCGACGCACTTGGCAATCTTTTTTGAACTCAGCTTATGGAACAACCGTTCTGTCACAAGCCAGCTAAGTAAGTAAAAGATGTCGAAGTCTAAGTGTCGGGATCGAAAAATTAAATCCAGACACACATTTCACAATTAATGGTGAGTGATTGAAATAACTCAATTAAATTTTTTCAGGCCCATTAAAGTTAAATTACAAAATGCATATAAAGTGCTTAACCTAATAAAGGATAAACTACCCAAATAAAGAATCATTTTTTTTTTGTTATTTTGTAAATGTATTTGTATTTTGTACATTTGTATTGTCTGCAGTAACCTCTTAGTGTTATGAAAGATCATTATAGTCCTCTTTTGTACTGGACAAACTTGAATAAATGTGGTTAATGCGCTAGCAGTCAGGGTAACAACTGTATTCGAACATAACCTTTTTTATTCCTGGGCGCCACCACAAATTTAGAGACTTAGTTATTGTTATTGAACAGACATGCATACATCGACTATGAATTTCGATCAAGAATATATTTTTAAAATTTATTTTTTAGTATCTCTGATCAGATCTTATAAATAAAATATCTATATTTTTCAAATGACCGGCCAAATAAAAAAACATTCCTTCATGTCAAGGTGAGATGTTAAAAACAAAAATGTTGGGATAACAACATGTGACCTTCACCAACTTTTGTTAAAATATACTTTCTGCAAGGCCATATTCAGAATTATTGAAAACAACTAAAATACTTCGAAATTGTACAAAAACAATATATAATTTAGATAATTATTAAAAAAGACGCCTTTCATCACTTACTTGTTGTTGCATTATTATTAACAGCTGTGCCCACCTCACTCTTTTGACGTACTAGCTGTGTCACTGGAGCATTTGCTGCAGCTTCCGGAGTGGAATCCTTTCGTGAAAAATGACTTCTACGTGAACGAGCCAAACCATTGTTTTGAGATGCTGATTTAGCTGGAAGAATAAAAAATATTCAGTTGCATTTTATATTGTATATATGCCCCCGATAGATATTTTGTACTCACATAAATTACTGCTGTCAACGAAAACATCGTCATCGACATCCTGATTATTGTTGTTGTTAGCTGTAGATGACATGTAATTAAGACCAATGCCACTGTCAGTTGCCAACGGTGTGCCCATTATAAACTGTGGAGCACCGGTCATTGGTGTTGTTGGTGTGGAAATAGGACTGGTCATTGAACCATCAAAAGCTGCCCCTGCTTCCATAGATGCCAAGAACTCTGCACTGCTGAAATAATCGTCCAATACCAATTTGGCAACCTGTGGAGGATGGGCAATAAAAACATTAACTGTCGTTTTCCAGAATAATGCAACTATTTTAATTGTTTCTTACCCTGACTAAATCACAACAGTCACCGGTGATTTTGATTACATGCTGACCCACATTACAAGTGAACTTGTATTCACCTAAAGAAGCATCATTTGTAGAATATGAATGCAACAACATTTGCGTATGAGGACGTATCGGTTTACCAGCAACTGCAGCCGTATTAGCAGCAACAGGTGTTGATGTATTCAAACCGGGAATATTTGCCAATTGTTGTTGGACCATCTGTTGGGAGGCAGCAGCTGCGGTCATAAAGTTTTGGGCTGAATTGAAGCTCAAACGATTTGCCAAATTGCTGGCGACTGGTGTCCGTATCTGAACAGCTTCGTCGGAATTCGAAGAAGCCAGAGATGAACATGAACCACCAGCGTGACTATTGCCCATTGCTGGGTCCAAACGTACTGGAGAAGCATTACGACGTATGGTATCTTCAATTAACTGTTTGGCATAGCTAGAAGAAAAAGAAACGAATATTGATGAATTCATTGTGAAGTGGGTATATACATATTTTCATAAGACATACTTGATTTTATCCTCAGCAGGACCAGTAATTTGCACCAAACGTTCCTTGGCTCCAGGGTTCACTTCAGAGGTTATTTAAAATGTTATATAAGGTTAGTTATTAAAACGGTCACACAAAATTTGATTAAAAATGTGGGAAGTAGTAAATAAAAGCGGGTTATATGAACATGATTTTCTGTTTTAGTTTTGATGAAATGAGCCTAAATGTTTGGTGTGTTTGTTAAATAAATTGTTCTGTTAATTGATAAAATAATTTGTATGGATATAAAATAAGTCTGTAAAATATGTTGAGCATTTAAAATGGAAGACACGTAAAATATTCATACAATATTCCCTTAGAGTTTAAAATCAATACCAAAAAATTATTTTTGTTCTCATAGAAACCCAATACAGTTGTCATAGGCATTGCCAGTTATGAACTGCTTACAATTAACATATTTAATTCCACAATACAAAAGTCATCGAGACCATAATGTATTATTAACAGCATGGGAGTACCATGCATAAATTCCAAATTAATGAATAATCAAATTTTTAAGAATAAAACGGCATTTACATTAGAACATTTTACAGGGTTAACCTACTTTATGAGGATTTATTTGACAAATAGGTAATTAAATTGACAATTGAAACCCACTGGGTTAACTAAATCCGGTATAATGTAAACGTACTATAAGTATGGAAAACAAATGAGAATGGCTCAAATATTTCTATTACCCTTCCAGTGTCAAACAAATTACATCATGTCGAGTCCCGAAAAGGATTAATGTTAGCTACATATTGGTGTGATTAAATGCAATGTCGTCATCTCTAAAACCTTTTAATTTGTGCCTTTCCTTATAAATGTGAACACATACGTATTGAAATCAAATATTTTGACATGCAAGCATCCCAAACAAAACAAAACTACATAAATGAAAATTTGATGGGAAAAACAAATTGATGATCTTTGCCATGCCAGCCAGCCAATGAAGATGTTAAAGCAAAACAAATGCGATTAGACAATTGAATTTAGTTTACCTCTTTGGAATGATATGATTGTTTCACTGAGTTCCTCAATCATATGGACACGTCGACCTTTGATACCCATTACTTAATTACATTTCAAAAAAGATCAATAAGTAATTGGTAGAGAAGAAATAAAATAATTATGAAATATTTTTATATATAATTGTTGGAGAGAGAAAAAAAGAGTTTTCAGGACGGACCTTCAAACCTTTCCAGTAGTATACTGGAATTTAAAGCATTATGTGATTTATAAATATGCTCCAAAAAAAGGAAACTTACCTTTGCCAGAATCTGCATTTCGTATCACTACCTCATCCTTGCAATAAGTTTTACCGGGAATTTTTGTTGGTTTTGGAAACTTGCCCGAGTTGCGTATAACTTCCCCGGGACCCAAGAGAAGATGTTGTTGATTGGCCGAACCCACAGATGCAATGGCTGCGGCAGCTGCAGCATTTCCAGCATTCATACCACCAAATGTGGGGGAGGTGCTTAAAAATGCCGTTTGTGTAGTATCAACATGATTTTGGGCATCGGACAACTAAAAAAAAACAAAACTTAAAATCATTTTTAAATGCGCCATTCGATGATCTTACCTCGGCATTTGTAGCCTGTTTAGTTTTATAGTAGCTATTAATACCATTATCTTCCCATCCTTTGGCCCGCAATTCAATTAGTTCGAGCAAATTGAGACGTGTCATAATATTTAAGCGTTCGTCCTGCGACGCATTACGAAATACAACAAATGCCCTATCTAATGTATCCTTTGAGACCGTCTCCAATTGTGGCCCATGTATGCGAAGATTTTGCACCAATGTGGCCATTGGCTCTGTATTATTAATGCCGGATTGCAATGAAATTGCCACATTCTCAATTAACTGCATTAGTTCTTCGATCAACATGAAGTTATTCTTGAGCGAAGAACGGGATTGTGACTTTAAAGGCCGTGGAGCCTCTACATTCTTAACTGAACGTCCGAGATGTGCCATTGCGGTGTATAGGCGTAGTATTCAATTGTTTTAGCTGGTCAGCTGGTTGTTGATTATTTTGTCAGGTTGCACGGGTAGCTTTACAACGATATTGTCGTCGTTTTTTGTTTCAGTCAAAGGGTTTTTGTTTTTGGTTTGGTAAATTACCCAAATTATGGAGGATTTGAGTTTCGATCGCTTCAATTATGAATCGTAGTAAAAAAGACAGACAATACTGTTTCTTTGGTTAATCGTTCGCACCTCCCCCTGAAAAGAAAAAAACAATGCATTGTATTAAAAGAGACTTAAATGATTAAATATGTTTTTGTTGGAAAACTATTTACCAAAAAAAATGTCTAAACACAATCGTGTTGAATGTTATTCATACATCGTTTCCTTGGAAATGTTTATTCTATTTTCTTTGTATATATCTATTCGTATAGACAAGTAACCAGTTTTCTAACCTATAAATCATACAAACTCTCTTTACAGTGGAACTTTGCTTGCAACAAGTAAGATAGATAGAACTATACTGGTAGAGATCATCTCAATTTTGTAGGTCAAACTGAAGATGGTGGGAGTGTTATGTGTACATTTTATCATATTTTTTTCTTGATTCTTGATAAGAATTATCACTATTCACACAAATCACAACATAATAAATGCTTCCACAGAGTGAGTCTTTGAATAGTTTAAGATAGTTGAAACAACGTCTGATAAATAATTGCAAAATTTTAAACTATTATCATTTTATGTCTCCATAGATATTGTAGTTAGGCTGTTTATATCGTCGTCGAATAAAATCTGTGTAATAAAAATTCATATATCTTTGGCTTCGAAACTTTTTGCACTAATTATTGTTTCTATAAATATTCAAAAATACGCATACAAAGTAATAGAAATGTTTAAACATTTTTTATTAATTTCTATTAATTTCTAAGAAAATAATAAACGGTTATTCCATTTGTTGATCCTTTGTGATTGAGGTATCCGAAGGTGTGGACCGATGTGGCACTTTCTTCAAAATTTAGAGCTACGATTTGCAAAGTGTTTATCAAATTGAACACACCAATCGATTGATATTGGATTAAAATGTTCAAAATATTGACCCTTTGTCGGGGGAGGTTCAAGAAGAAGTGGCCGGATAAGTGCCAACCTCAAAAATTATACAGGTTTTGTAAAGTTATATCGTTCGCATTATATTAGAAAAAAATTATGACCATTATGTAGGGGGAGGTACTAGATATTCTCCAAACTTAATTTAATTTTGCCAAATGTATTACGATGTGCAATCGATTATTATGCATCAGACGGACTGACGGGCATTTGCAACTCGACTCAAAATTGTCTGAAACGGATTTTGGTAACCATAAGGCTACTTTACTTACATAGCTGGCTTGTGACAGAGAACATTCGGTCTATAAGCCGAGCTTAAAAAAGAATTTCAGTCGCGTCGGTCTTTTGCGCAGTTTTCCATTTTGAAAGATCATATTCGGCAATGTTGTCTTCCACTTGATCTTTCCATCTTATTCGTGGCCTTCCCCTTCTGTGTGAACCATCAGCTGGTTCGCTTTTATTGGCCTTTTGGGGGCATCTACATCCATTCTCACAACATGACCGAGCCAATATAGTCGCTGCAGCTCAATAGTCTAACAATGCCGATGTCCGAGAATAGTTTGCACAACTCATGGTTTATTCAACGCAGATCGGCTCATAGATCTTTCGGAGAATTTTTCTCTCAAACACCCCAAGAGCTGCCTCATCTGCTTGCTTGCTTCAGATCCATATAACAGCACGGATAGTATCAGCGTCTTGTAGAGTGTGAGTTTGGTCAGGCGGGAGGTGGCCTTGCTTTTGAGTTGCTTACTCAGACCATAGTAGCATTTGTTGGCTAACACTATCCTTCTCCGAATTTCAAAACTGATGGCATTTGTTTTATTTATGGCGGTACCAAATATAAAATAAAATCTATATAAAAACTTTGACCACCTCGAGCTGTAGTTCTGAAGTTCCACAGTTGGTCCGAGTCTACTGGACGTCTTGTGCGTTGATACCATCAGCTTGGTCTTTGGCAGAGTCCTCTATTTGTTCAAAGGTGGCTGTTACCGCTCTCAATGTTCGACCCATTATGTCGATGTCGTCGGCGTAGGCAAGTGGCATATGCCGTTTGCCATTTCCATTTCAATTCACCTTTGCTTCATTCAATTGACCTTTGCTTCTCGTATAACCTTTTCCAGCAGGATGTTAAAAAGGTCACATGACAAACTGTCAGCTTGTCTGAATCATCGCTTGATATTAAAGGAAAGGAAAGGTCCTTTCCGACTTTAACAGGTGATCTTGTTATCCTGCATAGCCGAATTAATTTTGCCATAAGGCTGAGGATATAAAAATATATGACCCATGTCAAAATCAATGACCCGAGCTGTTCACAACATAAATGTTTTCGATGTATGTAGTTATGCATTATGTATATTGTTGTCATTTCTAACTACGACCACCATTTAAAACTACAATTAGATCATCATCACCATCGATGGGCTTGAATAAAGTGCACGTTCAATCATGTAGATTGTCATATTGCAGGGTTTCCCAATTAGAACTGTTTCCATAGAGAAATTCGAATAGTATTCCAAACTACAATTATATGATCGACAAATGTATGTCATGCTCAATCATGTATATTGTCTTATTATAAAAAGTATTCCAATAGGAATTGTTTCCTAACACACATGTACATAAATGGATTCTGATGGGATTGAATTAACTCTTGTCAATAACCGTTATAAAAAAATAATTCCAAATATTTTCAAGAATGAAAATATGTTTTTTGGTTGGTTGGTATACAATGGAAACGTGCAGGACTGTTGACTGATAGCAGACACGTTTTGTTTTGAGTAAACAGCAATAATACGCTTTGCATTTAGCAGAAAATTATCGTAGAAAAAAAGAACATTTTACAAGAATAACACACACTACACACATCATGCATACGTACATACATATTATATCCAAAGATGGAAATGGAATAGAAAAGAAGAAAAATAACTCACAGAATTATGACGAACTGCGCACTTTTTTCATTATTATGGATATTTCTTCGATGTTTTCTTTTTTATAAAATATGCTATACAAATCGCTTAAAAAATAAAACTATAAATTAAGTAGATATTCACAGCAAACTAAGTGTCTGGTCTATTTGTTCATACACCTTTAAAGGAACTACTTAACCACCAACCTCAATATTTTGGGCGGCGACGAGAAAAACGCTGCTTTTGTTGTTGTTGTCGTTCAAAAACTTTTTTCTTTTTCTGTAGTAAATTCAATTTTCTTTTTTTAATATCTTTTTTTTAGCCTCGTCACACTTTGCCCACCAAATTGTCTGACGAACACACTGAGCACATCATAGACAGACAAATAAGTGAAGTGAAAGAAGAGGAAGACAACAACGCAACAACATATTATGTTTGCCTCGCCCTCATACTTTTCCGCCCTTCCAAAACAAAAATTGAATTGAATCATTTGTCGAGAATAGCAACAAACACACATCCAACGGCCAACGGCAATCACCACACCATACTCAGCTGGCAGCTCTGCAAACAGAGCCATTAACCAAAAAAATCATTCACAAAATTCTCACACAACCGACATTCATTTTCACTCCACGCTCGAGGCTAATTTACCAGTTTTTCAACAAATCCACATTTCCACAACAATCTATCGCATTTAATCCTTTGTAAAATAGTTGAATTGAAGCTGTGATTTAATATCAAAACTTACCAGAATTTTTTTTAGCAAAATTAATTTCACTTGCGAACAGAAAAATAATCGACGCAGACAATCCAAAGTCAGTAGGTAATAACGCCGTTCTAATTAGATTCTTTTTTGATTGCAGGGATCTCTAGGGAGATTATCGTAATCGATTACAATCGATATGAATAGAGAAAATGACCATTGCATTGCACATAACGTAGACTACTTCAGCTATGTTTACATTAACCTAGTAAAACTAAAACGCAGCGGCACTATAAATAGTCCCAATTTATATTAGGCGAGTTTAATTGCGGCAAGTCTTTGCTTGAAGAAGAGATGGGCAAGGGGAATAGAAATTGAAAAAAAATTGCTCGTACCGACAATTTTTTGGCAATTCGTTTTGTGAATTTTGTTTGTAGTATGAGTAATTTAAAATACCAATCCAGAACATTGTAAAAAAAAATATTTTTGACATCGAATTGCCTTGTATAGACGAATGAAGCAAGTTCAAAAGAGAATGATAAAAATTGCCGCAAGAAAACTCGCCTAATATAAATCAGGACATATTTTCAAAAATTTTGTTTTTGCAAAATAGTCAGGCTGAATCCCAGTTTGTTGTTTTTATAAAAAACAACTATTTATTAGTGGGGAATGTATGGCATTGTTTGCCGAGGGGTAAGGCAGGGAAGGCTATAGTTTCGGATCACGCCACTGATCCTCATCAGTTCCCTTACAAAAAACCTTTTATACCCAAATGTCTTTTGTAACAAAGCGAAGTACTTAGCTGACCAACGACATAAACTGCATGAGAAAAATAAATAGAAAACATATACAAATGTGTTTGTTCGTTGTTTGAATGTAATTTTTTGATAGGCCTTAGCTAGTCTAAGCCAAATGTAAATTTCATTGCGTATACGTCTCGCTAATCCTGTTCACAGAATCCAGTGGATTATATTTGACGTAAAGAAATAGAATTGACATTGGAGATCGAGTGGATTTCGTGAATCTAAAGATACCTTTGGCATGGTACAATTATTCGAAGTAGGCCATAGCAACTTATAAATTGAATTTTTTTCAGAATGTGGCTTGTTATGCCAAAGTCGTATATAAAATGTGGGGGGTGTTTGTGTAATGTTTTGAAAAATTTTAAAATTTGTATTCTAAATTAAACGACATATACCTTAGAACTTTTTACCGGGTTAACCTACTTTATGAGGATTTATTTGACATATATGCAAAGGAATTGACAATTGAAACCCACTGGGTTAACGAAATCCGGTTAAATGTAAACGTACTATTAACATTGGTAAGAATAAATTTATGATTTGTCAATGATCAATATCTAAAGGGCACCATACACTATATATACATTAGTCGAAAATCGGCTTACAAATCCCTATTTCGTAGGAATTTTCTGGCATTTCGTTTTGTGTATTTCGTATTTGTTGACATTTTATATATATTTAAATGTGAAAAAACAACAAATAAAAAAATATTTTGGAAACCGAATTGCCTTGTATAGACGCATGGAGCAAGTTCAAAAGAGAACGATAAAAATTGCCGCAAGTAAACTCGCCTAATATAAATCAGGACTATGCAAAGACATAAATGTCTTTGATGGATGATCCATCAGCTGATTGATATCGCTGTTATGCATCATCTTCATTCGTAAATACCTGATTTTCGCTAGTTTGTTTCGTTTTTGATTATTATCAGACATTCTCCCCCATCTCCTCTATTCGTTGCATGTGGAACGTTTTTCAAATAGTTCGGCTAAGTCTGTATATAAAAACAATTTTCGTTTAGAGAAGAAGCTTCAAACCCCAAAAATGTCCGGGAAAAGTTCCACTTTGGACTTAAAATCCAATTCCGGGGATTCGGCACAGGGTGACATGGGCCCCAAAGTCTCATTTTTGGACTGGAAAATGAAAAAAGAAAAGGAGGCTGCAGCAAATAAGCCACAGGAAAACAATAAGAAGATCAATGCTAGGACTAACAAATTGTCGGCACCGCCACCACCCCCACCCTTAATTGCTAGTAACTTGTACAACAATAATTGTGGACCGAATCAACGGTCAAATTCCAGCCTATGGAGTTTCCTTGAGAATGGCTCCCACAATAGGAACGCCGCTAATAACAACTTTGGGAATAGTGCAATGAATTTCAATGGAAACAACTTTGGAAATAATGGTTACAGCAGTGCAATGAATTTTAATGGAAACAACTTTGGTTACAACAACAACAATAACGCAATGAACTTTAATGGTAATAATTTAGGAAACAACTACAACCAAATTAACTTTAATAGAGGAATGGCCAATTGTAATGGCCCATTTAACAATAATGGTATGAACCTTAATGGTGGAAACTTTAATTTTTCCAATGGTCCGCAAAATAATAGAAACAGCTTTAGTGGACAACAAGGGTACTCCAACAGGTCGGGTGGAACCAATGGATTCAACTCATCAAAGTACAAAAATTCATCCGATGAGTTTTTCAAAACAGACACTTTATTTAGGCAGAAGGATATGATAGAGGAAACTATACAAATGAATCCATTCCGCAATAATCCGAGAGCTAAAAAACTGCTGGAAGAATTTAAACAATCTGTTACCCAGCCAACGACTTCAAACAAAAATAAAACCAAACCTGCGAAGAAAGAAAGTGAAATTAAGAAGTCCACTACTACTAGCACTACTATACCCCCTGCAACAGATTCGGATAAAAAATTGGAACCAGAAGTGTATGTTAAAAATCCCAGGAATGAGCCCAATAAACCGTACATACCGTTGCCAAGGCCACCGGATCTAAATACTTGCACACCGCAAGAAAGAAAACAGATGTGGAAGGAGTACAACCAGGCCATAAAGCCATACAAAAATAGGGAATTTTATAACGCTAAGCGGGTCGTCCAGAGGTTGGGCAAGAAAGATCCAAGCGAATTAGACGAAAAAGATCGCCTACGTTTGGAGGCTGCCAGAGAAAGAATGGCTGCCCATAAAAAGAGACTGGAGGAGAAGTATGGAAAACAGTCTTCGAGTAGCACGACCTCGGAATCGTGGGTATTACAAGGCACCGCTGACGAAACGTCTAAATATGCGCCGTACGTTAACTATGGAAATTTTGGAACCTTTGGTGACGCCTCATCAGCTGATCCTAAAACTACACCCGAACCTGATAACACATGGGGAAGAAAGATATTGGGTGGAGCGTCAAAATACGGGTATTTTGTGTCGGGCGGTGTAATGCATTCTGTACAACCATCTCAAACCGAACATGTAACATCGTAAACAATTTTATTTCCAAATTTGGATTAAACAAATAAACGAAACTTAATTTTAAACTTTGTTTCTTCTTCTGATCGAGTTCTTGCCACTGGTATTGGTAGTAGGTTCGGGTTCACCCAACATTTCACGTCGTTTTTGTTTGCCTCTTAAAATGGCCGCCTTAAACAGTTCACAGTATAATTCTACGGATGCGGGGGAATCGTCATTACCGGGCACCGGGTATGTTATCAGATTTGGATTGCAGTTTGTGTCGACTATGCCCACAGTGGGAATTGCCATTTTGGCGCAATCCCTCACAGCAGTGTGCTGACTCAATACATTGTTTTGGGTATTTAAAAATATACACAAATCGGGTAGGCGAGTCACTGCACCAAATTGCACATTTGAATTGGTAAATATACCACCACGCCAGAATCTTGTGTGTGAGAATTCTCCAGCCTCCATTGCTTTCTTTTCCACCAAGTGGGCATTCAATGCATTGCGATTAAAGAAGCATATAATGCCATCCCGGAATGCAATATGTGCTGTGATATTTAACGCGTCTCTCAGGTGTGCTGCGGTTTTATCCAAGTCGAAGATTAAGTGACCCAAACGGCTACCATAGATATACGGACGCATACGATCATCGAGGGAACCCTCCTTATGGCCATAGTGTACACGAGCATTAAATAAGTCTCTAACCGTAAACAAATTGTGTACTTGGAAGTAGTCCGGGTGCTCCAAAATACGTTGTTCAATGATGGAAATATCTTCTGGTTCGTTTGAAGCTGTGACAGGTGTAGCGGCCGCAGCAGCAGCGGTTGATTGTGAACGAACCTGTCGCAAGAGGGCTATTCTGCCTGTGAATAGAAGATATATGGTTAATGATTTTATTGCAAGCCCATTTCAATTCATACGTAATACCATTTTTCAAGCAATTCATTAACATTTTGATTAATTTTCGCGGAAAACTCTAGCCCCTCGCCGTTTTGTATTATTCAATCTAGAGGTGTGCAATTATTGATAAGTGGCATGATATGAGAGTGTCATCGAGTTGCGATAGCATCGATGAATTCGATAATTTATTATACAAAGTTTACAGAAACCAAAGCAATGGAGAGTTTGGAGAATTGAAATTTTGGTTGTCGAATATATTTTGTTTTTGTTTTTTAAAACATTACACAATTGTAATTTATGAGTTGCTATGGCCTACCTTGAATAATTGTACCGTTAAATCGCCGAATTCGTCATCGAGTTCTGTTTTGTATAGAGAAACATTTCGATCGTTGTCAATTTTTGGATCACCGCATACGATCGTAATTTTATTTATGTCAATAAGAAATTGAAAGCGAATATGTTCGTTCGTTTACTCAATAATTTGTACAAATAATTACAAAATGTTGTTCGCTTACCCAAAAGTCCAGTTAAAGAGATTGAATTGAGAGAGCAGATTTGACAGTTGAGTTACTGAGTATTTACAAATTCTCACAAGGAAAAATTTACTCGGTAAAAAGTTTCTTGTACCATCTGCTGATATTTAATCAGATGTTTTGTCGTGGCCTAACTCATATGTTTTCAATTTTTTCCATAAATTTGCATTAAATTTGACAGTATTCAGCATTCAAAATTTAAATGAAATCTCTTCCTTCGAAATGTACGCATGTCATGTGTTCAAAAAATCGATTAACCGATTAGTTTAAAGTCGATTTACTTATCCCTATTCTTGGATTGCCTGAACCTCATTCGTAAACAAAACAATTCGATTCTCATTCAGTCTCCATCCCACCTCATTCGTTAAGGTTCTCGGCTATTTTGTCTGCTCTTCCCATTCGTTACAGGTGGAACGTTTTTCCTATAAACATTATTAAATAAAAAAAACAAAACAAGATTTGGAAAAAACTAATATGTCTGAAGTGAACATAGATCCGCCTACAGCTTCATCTAATTCCACCAATTCGACTATTTATTTTGATGCGGAAAATGATGAAATAGATTCAGATCAAGGTGAGGTGGTCAGTTGCAGTGATACATTAGTCACAGATAATCTCAATGGCCATGACAAGACATCATTGACGGCAACTGGTGACAATGGAGCAATACACAAGTCTACGGCCAGTGTTTGCAGTACGACAACAGACGAGGATTTGCAAAATGATGAGGCATCGTCAACATCCAGTAGACCCCTCGCAAAAGCCCTAGACTTGCAAGACACTGGGGACACAGATGCGACGAATATTATGTCGCACGATCCCACATGGAAAGGCCAAAAGAAGCATATTTTCATATTGAGTGAGGCTGGAAAACCCATATACTCATTACATGGCAACGAAGACAAGTTGGCCATTTTATTTGGTATAATTCAGGCATTGGTTAGCTTTGTTGAGAATAGCCAGGATGATATAACGTCGATTAAGGCTAAGGGTGTACAATTTGTCTTTATGGTCAAGAGCAATTTGATATTTGTGGCTGCATCAAGGACGCACTTGAGTGTTGCCCAGTTGCAGGTGCAGCTAAAGTAAGTTTCGTTTCGGGTATCTCATGGACACTGCCAAGTTTGTTTTTTTCTAATATGTAACTTTTATTTTCCTCTCGGTTACAGCGATGCCCACAATCAAATAATATCCACTTTAACCTATAGCCAATTAACAAAGATTTTCAATCAACGCAAAAACTTCGATTTGCGACGTCTGCTAGAGGGCAGCGAGCGATTAATCAACAATTTACTGCTTAACGATAGCAGTGGTAAAAAGATTTCCAACAATGTTTTCGCATTTCTAACAAATTCCATTCGTATTTTGCCGCTGCAGTCGTCGGTGCGGACATCCATATCACAGGCTATCAAAGAGAATTGTTCAAAAATTAAGAACTTAGTATTTGCTATACTCCTAGCTCAGAATAGATTAGTATCATTGGTTCAGATGAAGAAATATTCAATTCATCCGGCAGATTTAAGGTATGATTACACTTCCTAAAACACACACACACATGTACTTATGAGTGCAATGTTTTTCTTTGTTTACAGGTTAATTGTAAACTTAATTGAATGCTCGGAATCATTTAAACCTTCGGAAAATTGGACACCAATATGTCTGCCGAAATTCGATATGAATGGCTATTTGCATGCTCACGTCTCTTATTTGGAGGAAAACTCACCAGCTTGCCTTCTTTTACTTTCCGTGGATCGTGATGCCTTCTTCACACTGTCCGAAGCCAAGCAGTCGATAACGGAAAAATTAAAACGTTCGCAATGTATCGAAGCAATAAATGAAGCTGTGCTACAAACCACCAGGGGAAAACAACAGTTGAACTCCATTGGTATTCCCGAATTGAGACATTTCCTGTATAAACCAAAATCTGCAGCCCAAATACTTTGCTCAGAAATTGTTGCTCCATATACGAATCTAAGTGATTTCGAGCGCCTCGAATCCATTTACTGTGATCTTCTGGAACGTATACGTAACAGTAAACGCCCCCTTAAACTTATATTGGAAACAAGAAGCAATGAAGTCGCTTTGGCTTGGTCCACTGAATTCTATGAACTGTTTGTTGTCTTCGATCCGTTGACACAGAAAAGTTCTGTCACCAAAGATGTGGACAAGCTCATAAAATGGATAGAGAAAGAATATGACACGTATTTCATACGAACACATCCAACATTTTGATTACGAATGAATGCAATTTTAAAAGAAAATAATTTAGTTTTTAGTTGATTATTACTATTACAACAAAGTTCAATGAATCGAAACTATAAGTATTCTTCTATAATATGCTATCAAATTGTGATTTACTGAAGCTGAATATAATTGTTTATTGAGAAAAAATAAGGAAATTATGATATAAGCCACAGCAAGAGATAAATGATGTTGATAATGGTGATGTTGTGACTCATTTGAAATGCTTAGTTCAAAATAATAGTATCGTTTGTGTTGCATCCAAATTTACCCCACAAAAATTGTTTTTGTAAAAGGTTCAAAATGCCCTACCATATTTTACATTTCATAAATATTATTCCAAATGTGTTTTAATTTGTTTCCCCTATTATTTTGAACACAACTGTATGTAAAGTAATATTTTAAAATTGTAAAGATATCTTATTAAGTATGTAGTTATGCAAAATAAATGAAATGTATATAACATCCTCGTTATTAACTAATACAAATTTGTCTTGAATGTTAAGATAGTGTTATTAAACATTAATCAGCCTTATTCTGGATGTCAATTCCACCTGAATTTAATCGCTTCTTTTCCTTCGACTTGTTCTAAACAACATTGCACAGTGAAATTTTTCGCATTCCCGCTTTCGCCTTATTCTGAAAGCGAAAAATTTGGGAAAAATTAGATATTCTGGAGTAAGAGAATGAGCATCCTTATTCTGGATATTCGCTAGGGAGATTTCTCGCATGTAAAAAATGTTTCGCGTTGACAGTCTCGCCTTATTCTGAATGAATAGGGAGAAGCAAAAAATGCGATATTGAAATGAAGATTCGTGTTTCCATATTGTAATTTAAGTTGTAATGTGTGTCGACCCATTGTAATTTAATTTTGTAATATTTTTCAATATTTTTTTATTGATTTTCTTTTTTTTAATTGCCCTTTATTTCGTCCTTCAAATCATGCACACGATAAATTTGAAAGAAACAATTATTTATGTAGCTTTATTATTGTTCTTTCATAATTTTTATTTGAGTTTTTCACTGTTAAGTGGGTCATTAGGCAAATTTGGCTTTGTGTTTTTTCCATAATTTTTAATATTTTTCCTTCTTTCGTCGCCAATTTGCATCGAAATCGGCTTAAATATTCCTTATTGCCTTCATACATTCTGCGACAATATTTGTTTGAGCATGCACTCCCTCCAACTAATAAATACATTTTTAAATAACGGATTTTCCCCTTTCGAACTTGATTCAGAATAAAGGGTAAAGTGAAAATGCGAAAAAAAATCGCTTTAGAATAACTTTAAAGTGAAGAGCAAACAAATTCACGGTGAATTGATGTAAAGAATAAGGCTGATAACATTTCAAAATTCAATTTTTACATGGTCGAATATGCAGAGTAAAAATAAAATACAGTATTTTCTTATTTGGCTCTCTCTGTTTCTCTTAATAGGGAACCAGGAAAAATACAACACCACTTTGTGGACACCACAAATCTGCAGACGATGGAAAAATGTAGTATAAGCGTTTTATTTTCTGAACCGGGTTTTCAACCATGAATTGGCATGAGAATTCCAATTATATTAATTTAAAAAAAACTATTAATCGCGCCTGAACTATTATACATTAATCAAAGAAATCATAACAGTTGTTCGCTGTCCTCTGATTTACAAATTACTTAAATTTCCTAATGGGAAAATGTGAAACGGCAAATTCCTGGCGTATTATATTAAAACACGTTTGACATATGAATGCCTTATATGATTTCAAAACAGTGTAACAAATCCACACCAGAGATACAACCCTGTACGAATAAAAGCTTTGCAAAATTAAGCTTCAGTGTTGCCAGTGGAATTTTGAACTGATTCGCTCTGTGCTGCTGTCAGTTGAATAGAGGATACACCACAACATGGTGGTTAGTGGCAATCAGTGAAGCATAAAGTAAGGAACGACAGTGAAAGTCGTCGAGTAAAGCAAATTGAATGAAGTGCTAAAGGATATGAAGCAAAAAAAATATATATATACATCTGTAAAAATATTCTTGAAAAAAATTTATTTTATTTAATCATGAGAAAAACGTGCAAAGATTACAAGTGAAAATGAAATTTAAATTAATTAAACGAAATTGTTAAAATGTGAAAAAGCAAAAAAAAAAAGAAGAAATAAGAAAATTTTCCTTGCGCCCCAATCATACATAAGATTTTTTGGGTGTTTTACAATACGAATATATATGTATGCGTGATTGTGCGAGTGTTCGTATTGATGTTCATTATTAACGACAACAACAACATCAGCAGCTATTTTCAAAACCCTAACCTCATAAATGTTTAATGGATATTTGCAAGGAACTGACCATCTTGTTAAGAGTCCTCTTTTCGTTTTATTTGTAGCAGGGTTTCTTTCTTGTTTGGTCGGTCGGTCGATGTCTAAACACAATAAGGTTGCGACCTGTTCAGTATTGTAGCACATTTTTAGGGTGTTTGAGGACACACATATTTATGAGTATATGTATGCATAAGTATTTGCTTGTGCTTACAAAGGCACATCCTTTTAACACACACACATGGCGATACACACAGCCATTGCCACAGTATTCGATAGTCGTGTAAAATTGTCTGCATGTATCTGTCATTTTGGTTAATCAGTCCATGTATAGGTATATGCGTATGTGTGTGTGTGCGTAAGGATGTATATTCCTTCTATTTGTTAACTGTAGCAGCTGTTTTTAAAGAATTATATTCATGAATTTCTTAACTTAACGCGCGCCTTTGACATCAAAAGCTCTTTCTCTCTCACGGTCTCTTCTCATATTCAGAAAAAGTAATGCTATTATTGTGTTACAAAAAACGCGCTAAAATAAAAACTTGTCACGTGCTTTGAATTGCATTATGTATTCTGCTTTTGGTATACCGGTATTTAATCTATCTACACTAATAAAAGAGTAAAGTGATTGACTTACTGTCAGATAAGGCTGGATTTTTGGAAATTCGGACTAGAACGGCACTAAATGTGGTACCATTTGTATTTAAAGAACCGGTAAAGTTAGAACTCTTAAATTTAAAATGAGAGTAGAACATATTTAGCAAAAGTCCGATATGTACTAAATTTGGTACAATTTCATAGCATGTGAATGAATAGAGTTAAAAACTTGAAATTTGGAATACGAATTAAGGTTGAGAAGTGGGGTCGATATTAGCAGGTGTACTAAGTGTACGAAAAGTACTATATTTTTTTAAATGTGAATTTAAGTGAATCGGAAATGAGATTACTACTGCACTGTAGAATTGAGGTATGTTGGTAGTTTGGGAAATTCGTACTTATGTGTGGAATCCTCAAATTTAGTGTAAGGATCATTGTTTGGGTTGTAGGTTTGGGCAATGTAAAACGTTTTTGAAATTCGTACTAATGTGTAATAAAGGGATTTTGGTGAACCGATAACGCTGGAATATTGAAATTTTAAGTTAGAATCGCTGTTTTTGGGTGTAGAATTCAGCTATATAGGGAGTTTTTGAAATTCGTACTAATGTTTACTAAATTTGGTACAATTTAAGTTTTGGGTGAACCTGGAATCCTGAAATTTGGAGTAAGGATCATTGTTGGGGTTTTACGATTGGACTATGTAGAAAGTTTTGGACATTCGTACTAATGTGTACTAAATTGTACCAAGTGTGGATTCGGGTAAACCGATAAAGCTGGGATCTTGAAATTTGAAGTTAGAATCATTGTTGGGGTGTAGAATTGAGCTATGTAGGAATTTTTCGAAAATTTTGGGTGAACCTGGAATTCTGAAATTTGGAGTAAGGATCATTGTTGAGGTGTAGGATTGGACTATGTAGAAAATTTTGAAAATTCGTACTAATGTGTAGTAAATGGTACCAAATTGATAATGGTAATGCTGATTAACCTCCATATAACAGTAACAGAAATGTGATTTGGTATTAAGGTTTTTTGACCAGCTATACTTTTATATGTATAATTCGTAAAATCTGAATACTTAACGATTTAAATAATTCGGAATATACGAGTATAAACAGAAAAAAGTTAAGTGTTTTGGAAACTTCAATCTCTGTTATGAACACATGTTAAATTTTGTTTCGATCTGGCAACTCCTTCATGTAGAAACAGATGTTCAAAAAAGACGCATCCGCAATTTTTTACAATGGAAAAATTAGAAATGCGTGCTTTAATTGTAAAAAAATTGCGGATGCGTCTTTTTTGATTTATATGAAGGATTTACCAGATCGATCCAAAACCCTTAACTTTTTTCTGTTAATGTCGCGTGTTTTGTGGTAGGCTAAGAACTTTCCGAACTGCCCTTGTACACAAATTGGTACTTTACACATTGTGGCCCTCAAATATTTGTTGAAAGGAGCTTGATCTATAATTTGATTTTTTCGATTTGACTCTTGATGTGTGTGGTCAATTACCAGGCCTTTATCCAATCAAATTTTATATATATATATATATATATTTACTACCTGTGTATTAGATGTAAGCTCGGTTTTATGTTGTTTCAATTGGGTCATAAATACCTCTTACAAACATGTTTGAAAGTAAAAAACTGTGTAACTTTAAATAGGCAACATATTTTAATAAAGCACAAACAAAGTCATTGAAATATTTGCATCACTGCAAATGCTCGCTCACGCGCCCTCATCTGGATGTCTCTTTACAATTCTCTACGCCATATAATTCTCCCAGAAAATTGGCAAAGAAGAAAGCGCCATATTTTGACATTACCACGAATTTTGTGTGTCCTTTTAGCCGCCCGTCGTTTCGATTACAATTGTGGTTGTTACACATACATGTGTGTGTGTGGTTGTGTGTATTTTTTGTATTGTATCGACGTTTCGCTGAGTTTTTCTTCTTCTTCTTCTTGTGTGGCTCCCAACTTATCCCCAGTGCTGCTCTCGTAAACCGATAAAATAAACGTAATGAAGTTGTAAACGTCTGTGTCTTGTTGTTGTGTTGAGTTGAGTTGGACTACCTCACTTTGTCGCTGTTAATGCCGGTATTATCAACATGTACACGCCAATCGACTCACACAACTATATGTGCGCGTGTGTGTGTGACTGCATCAAAAATATAAATAAATACTAAATGATATTAAATCAACATGAAACAATATTGGAATTTCACAAATTACGAATTATTAACAACACAACCTCGTCGCCGCGTATCTGTGTAATAGACAAATCGACAAACGCACGACCGAACGAACAAACGAAGCGTGTATGAAACCTGCCCGCCCATTATTGCCAGGACGTGTTTTGTGTAGAGCTAGAACCACCAATCGAACGCCTTCATTGTCGCCGTAAAAGTCAACGTCATAATTTCATCATCCATTGAATGACAAAAGTGAACATGCTTTTTGTGTTTGTCGCTATCATTGGCGGCGAGGCCCAAACCCCCTAAAGAATCGCAATGGAAAGCAGAGGGAGGCCAACATATTCTGTATTGTAATTTCCCGTATTCTATAATTGCTGCAGAAAAAATAGGTTTGTATTTTAAATAGTTTTTGTATCAAATTTTTGGGTTTAATTTAATTTTGACGAAATTGCATGGTGAGCTGGATTGCATGGTGAGCCATATTGTAGTGTCCATTATAAAACCCTGATTTTTGGTTCCCTCAACCAATTTATGACATATTTCGATGTATGTTGGAGGTTATTGTCATGTTAAAACACTCAACCAAGACGCATATTTTCATCAGCGATGGGAACCATTGCGTTTTCCAACACATTTGTGTAAACAATCCGATCCATCTTAAGTGAGTGAATGATGTACAAAAGGGTTTTTGGAAATTCGACCGAAATTGTAATTGTATATACAGTGTGAGATAGTAAACTGCAGCCAACTTCAGACTGCTGTCATTTATAATCCACTCGTCCGACAGCTATTAAAATTATTCCAGTGACTGTTCATTATATTGTTTACAAGCATACAAAAGCATTTTGGTGGGAATTGTCCAGAAAAAAAGTTATTCGTTATGGAATTCAAGCGTCTCAACAACATCGCAATCAACACGCGCAAACCAAGAATGGTTGCAAAATGAGGTACCTCGCTTCATTTCCAGCGCACAAAAGCCACCAAAATCTTCGGATACCAATTGGTTGGACTATTATGTCTGGAGTATTTTGGAAAGCAAGGTTGTTACTAAAAAATACCAAAGTGTCGATCAAAATACGCAGAGCAACCTTTGGGCAGCGTGTGACGGTTTCATTGGTCGTTTGAAGGCCATATTTCGTGCCAAAGGTGATCAATTCTAACAAATCTAAACTTATTCTAGAATTTGATGCTATTTCCGACATTTTTTGCTTTCATTCATTAAAATAAAAAAATGTAAAAATTATGGCGTTTGACTTTGTTGCCGTCTTTTTTATCTCACCCTGTATGTTTTCCCAAAAATCAAAATTTTGAAATTTGGGAGAATTCATTTTGAAGTGGAAAAAGCAGAAAAATATATTTGTAGAAACTTAGTAATTTTACTCACAGTTTGCTACTACTCCTAAAATGTTACTATAGAAAATGGATTATATCAGTCAATAGCCCCCCATATAACGGCATCACCAAATATTCTGAATTTTTAGATTTTGAGTAGGATTTTAAACGAATTGTATGGAATTTCGGATTTAATTTAATTTTATAATCAATATTGGTCCACTTATGTGGTTAGTTTACATATAACCAAAATACGATTTTTTTAGGTAAGTTTTCAAAAAAAAAAAAAAAAAAAAATAGCAGTAATTTGTATCTTTATTGTGTAGAAAATCCCCTTACCAAAAATTATGAATAATGGCTAAAATTTGGAACATATTGGATTATTAGTTTTTGAGTGCCCGCCATTCGTAAAAACACATATCATATATCATCAAGAGTTGTTGAGATTTTCACTTGAAATTTTAAAGGGACATTTTTGAATTAGTGTATGTTTGAATAAAGTAAAAAACAATTTTTGAAACAAAGAATTGAGACCTTTTTTATTGCTGTACTTATTATAAAACCTTAAGATATCGCCAGAAATATTCATTTGCTAACTCAATGACTTTTCAACATGAAAACTAATCCTTTTTTGTATAAACATGATGCTAAAACAAAGATGAACAAAGTTCGAAAAAGCTATTGTCTATTCCTGTTTCATTATAATAATGTTGTTATTTTTGTTCTCGTTGTTTATTAGTGAATGCTTTCAAAAATATAATTTATTTAATATGAAATCGTTTTTATTGATGAGTTTGTTTGAGTATATTTATCATGGTCATTTCAAACCCCGACCATCTTCATTGTGTGTGTGTAGGTGTGTAATTGTTTTATTTATAGAATATCTATCTATATATCCACCCACCCATAGACAAACGAACACACACACGCACATACACATATCTAGTAAATTGTTTAATGACTTTAGTTAGTAAATATTAGTGCAGTCATTTGTTGACTGCTTCACTTATTTATGAGAATGACAGCACCAGCGGCAGCAACAACAACATCAACAATACAAAGATATGATGAAGGATGACTAAAAGAATGTTCATATTATTGATATTGTATTTATAAACACTATTAAAATGTCATACAGATATACCGACAGACAACAGACAGATGATGAAAATTGGAAAGCGTGTAATAGTATACTTTGTACGCTATCTGTACAAATAGATATATGAGAGGTCACATTAATTGTGGGGCGAATACTATGTCATATATATCATTATATGATAAATATATATATATATATATATATGTAGTCGTTAAGTTCGACCGAGTCGTACTTTTACTATCCGCAACCATGGATTGGACATTCATTATATCTATATAATATAATCTTTCACTGACTGAATTAGCCGGGAAAAGTTATAAGCTTGTCGACATCGTCAGTGAATTGCCCTACATTTCTCCAGGACAGAATACAAATGGCGCCCAACGTGAGGCCCAAACCGACGGCCCTGATATTCAGAGTCTAATCTTCTACTGATTGATATAACATTAAGAACAGAGGGTTGATGAGCTGTGGTAGCAGGTCTACATGCCCGAAACCCATGAAGAAAGCCCTTTTATTTGTGAAACTATTTATAAAGTAATGGATCGGATTGTTTATACAAATGTGTTGGAAAACGTAATGGTGAAATGCTGATGAAAATATACCGCTTGGTTGGGTGTTTCAGTTTACAATCTTGGCTATATCATTTTATTAAAAAAATTTCAATTACATTTCAGGATAAATAGCTTAAACCTAACACCGTTCTATAAATAAACATGCTTATGTATGCACTAGCCTACTTTGATACTTAACATCGACATCGATTCTTAAATATAAGTACCTTGGGTTTGTTTCAGCATGACAAAACCCACAAACGTACATCGAAACATGTCAAAGGTTGGTTGCGGGATCCAAAAATCAGGTTTTTATAAAATCTTTATAGTAAAATCAAAAGATATTCACAAATATAACCGGCATTATTCGGGATATTCGCAAGGGAGTAATTTCACAAGTGATTTTTTTTTCGCTTTCGCTTGCTCCCGCATTGATCGATTTCAAAGACACAACAAATAATGGGAATAAATCTGCGATAGGATAAAATTAATTCGAAGTTTATTGCCTTTTTATTTAATTTCGATATTTTATCTCCCCAAAACGGATTTTCAATTGCATTTTTTTGTTTTTAAGTAAAATATCCATACAATCATTTATAATATTTAAAATAGTCATCGAATAACTGTTGTGGTAGAATAACTATATATTTAATATATATTTAATACTATATATTTAATACTTTCTCCCTCTCTCTGTAATCCAGAATAACAAATTTTTCCACAAAGCGGATTTTTTCGCTTTCGAATTTAATTCAGAATAAATATTTCATAAAAACATCACGTTCACATATTCATCAATATGTAATAAGTAAATTAATTTGAATTCTTATCGGCCTAATGCGTATTCTTTTAAAAATAAATACCTATACAATAAAAAAATAACAAAAAAACTATGACACATTAAGGATTTTATGCACACTCTCACATAGTCATCCTGCAACAAGTTCACCAATATAGCAATGGATATTTAGGAATTAATAACAAATTCTAGAAATTCCCATGCTTAGTTGTACACTCACACATACCATCAGACGAAGGCGCTACACAATTCTCCCTTATGTATACGTAAGTACACAATAGGACGGACTGACTGCCTCACTGACCTAAAGAAACCCAAGATAATAAAATTAAAAAGACTGGCGAGAGTAAAGAAAAAGAAAACGATGCCTACGATGTGATGAGAACGTATAAGCAGCAGCAAAAAATATTATCATTGTTGTTGTCATTTTTTCTGTTGTTATTCGTGACACATACAGGAATGTGCCATAAATTAAGAAGGACACAAAATTATAAGGGAATACACCAAAAAAATACATAATGGCAGAAAATGAAAGCTTATGCAAGAACAACTACAAAATCAGTTAGCGAAATTTCAAATTGTAATGACGTTCTTATTGGACATAAATTAGGAAAAAATACTTGAAACTTTTTTAATTCATGCTTCTTGGAAAAACAAATTCTATAAAATAGTTTAATTTCTCCAGGACACAACACAAATGGCGCCCAACGTGAGACCCAAAATAACGGCTCTGATATTCAGAATATAATATTTTACTGACTGAATTAGCTGGGAAAAATTATTAATTTCTGCAGGACAGAACACAAATGGCGCCCAACGTGAGGCCCAACCGCCGGCACTCATATTCAGAGTATAATCTTTCACTGACTGAATTAGCCGGGAAAAATTATAAGCTTGTCGACATCGTCAGTGAATTGTCTTTCATTTCTCCAGGATAGAACACAAATGGCGCCCAACGTGAAACCCAAACCGACGGCCCTGATATTCAGAGTATAATCTTTCACTGACTGAATTAGCCGGGAAAAGTTATTAATTTCTCAAGGCAGAACACAAATGGCGCCCAAAGCGAGGTTCAAACCGATGGCCCTGATATTCAGAGTGTAATCTTCTACTGACTGAGCTAGACGGGCAAAATTATAAATTTGTTAATATCGTCATTAAATTGCCTGATAGTTTGTTTAAGTTCTCCAGGACAGAATACAAATGGCGCCCAACGTGAGGCGCGAATCGACGCCCTAGTATTCAGAGTGTAATCAGTGAATTGGTTTCTCCATCAAAGTTTAGGGATCCATAGGACAATTTAAAAATTTACTTTCTAAGAGCTTCACAAAATACAAAATGTGTATAAAAACAAATTCATATTGCTCAGGGACTTCTTTAAAATTATTCGCATTGAAAAGGTGGCATCCTTTATTGATCCCTTAAATCACCTTATAGTTCACGTTTACACCTTTTTCTCGCTTTTTCTGAGGCGCTTATATTTAGTCTATTTTAATTACTTCCCTACCTAGCTACCAACCAGCCAGACAGTCTGCCCCTGTGTCAATATATTTGTGTGTTGAATCCTCTATGTTAATTTTAGATTAATTTCGAAATTTAAAAAAGTATATTGAATGAAATTAGCGCCAGGATTCATAGTTTAATGAAGGCTGCCACTTGAAAAATCATAATTTATTCGAAGCTAATAGCTCTATTTACCTTGAAATCAATTAACAAAAAATTAATGCCAAACAACAACAACAAAAACGATTTCACATATCGTTTCGTGGTATGGGGGTTGGAAAGGGGTTATGGTTGCCGTTGAAGCCCTCTAAGTGAAATTGCTGTAAGTAGTTGGTTTGCTGGCATTGGCGAAAATGGTTTTTAATTTGAAAACCACTAAATTGTTTCGAATAAAAAAAAGAAGAAATTTCCTATTTGCTGTTGTTGTTGTTGCGGTAATTTTATTGATGTGTAAAACAAGCCGTAAAACTTGTCGGTACATGTTGCGATTACTTTTAATTATATATTTTTTTGTAAGAAACATTTTAATGTGTCATAGTATTATACTGACGATGTATGTCCTTGATCTCATCTTTGAATGTGTTGTAAGAAGGATAATTAAGAAATATTCGAGAAAAACGTTGATTTTTTAGGAAAAAAGTCAAAGAGTATCACCTCGCAGAATATTCATAACAATTGGGTCAGAATTATAGACCCAATAGTAATTCACAATATTTAACATTTTTCTATATCTTCCAGGTCAATTGCTTCAGCAATTTTTTAAGAACATTTTTATAATTAATTTTAAAAACTTTCTGTTCATAAACTTAATTTTTTGATTGCCTAAATAGACTGCTTGCCAAAATAATATTTTCCACACACTATTTACTTACAGATGACCACGACTACGATCGTTATTGTCGATGTCTTTACTTCAAACTCTCCACACTTTCATTTAGAAAGTAGCCATCACAAATCATTGCCATCGTCAAAGTTGACAAAGTGGTTTCCCTCAATTTTACATTTTTCCAATTTCAAAACCAGTAGCTGGCAGAAACAACAACAACAACAGTCGCTGATATGGGCGTGACAAAAAGATATTCCATCGATTTCACCGATTCACTACAATTGCAACAGACCCATCGAAAATGTCATCACAGACAATCTAGTGGGAGGACTGGCGAAATAACACCAACAGCAGCGGCAACCATCCTACCACACGAAGTATACATTGAGCAAAACAAACAATCTCTCCCAAAAACAACAGCAACAACAATCATCTCAGCACAAAATCAACAGCACTTTTCGAGGAAAGACCAACGAAAATCGTTGCACACCACCACCACCGCCACCATAGCCACCACAATCATTCCAAGAGGCCAAGTTAAAGAAGGGCAGAAACGTTGTAGTCCTGCAAATACGAACGACATTAGGAATTTAGAAAGAGAACTTAAATCGACAGCGGAAATATTAGGCAGGCCGGAAACAGACACTCTGTCACTGCATGGCAAAGTGAATAAAACGCCACTTAATCACTTGGCCGCTGTTGGCGGCAGAAATTCAGCTAAGTGGTGGTGGGGTTCCTTCCAATTGAATTGTAGGAAACCTATATGGCTAAGCCTGGCGATTGTCTATCTGTACTGTCTATCTTCCTTTGCGAATTGTCAAAATCCTTTGAAAAGCTCTGCTTTACCTTTACTTGCCACGACCACAATTTCACTGGCAACACGGGGGTCGGTACTTGTTGCTGCTGCCTCCGCCTATGAGCCCATTATCAAATATGACATCGTCCACAGGGAGGATGACGGCATGACCGTCGAAGACATTGATGTCAATAGCAATGAACAGCAATTATTGGCCTACTATAAGAAAGCCCAGAAGGAACATGAGGACGAACTGCGAAGGCAGCGTCAAATGCAGCAGCAACAACAACAACAACAGCTGCAATTCAAGCATCATCACCAGGAGCGTGATATAGAACATGAAACATTAAGGCCAGCTTTACATTTCGATGATATTATTCCTACGGTCGATGTTATATCCTCGTTAAGTTTAATTGACGATTTCCCCAAGCCGAAGAAGAGCACAGCATCAAAGCGTAGCACAACAAAACGTTCAAGTCCAACACCAGCACCTACTAGTACCCAGAGTTCGGTGGCAAGCACTGTGGCAACGACAACGACGACGGCAAGAATAACAACAGTTGCAGCAAGTAAAACAACATCGACGGCAAAAATATCAACAACTGCCATTCCAGAGGAGAAATGTGAACCGAAAGTATTGGATGAAGTACCAGCAGAACCGGTAAGTTTGAAATATTGAGAATTTTAGGGGCCGAACTTGTGTGTCTCTTTAAACTTATGTGTTTCCATTCTCACAACACGACCTAGCCAACGTAGTCGCTGCAGCTCTATACGTCTGACTATGTCGATGTCCGAAAATAGATGGTACAGCTCATTGTTCATTCGGTGGCGATATTCACAGTCGTTCAAAGGTGGCTACAATGTTTGACCCATTAAGTCGATTATGTCTTCGGAATAGGCGAGTAACATATGCTATTTGTTGTACAGAGTGTCACATTTGCATCTCGTATGACCTTTTCCAGCAGGATGTTTAAAAGGTCACACGACAAACTGTCACCTTGTCTCCTCGTTCGGTATTGAAGGGCTCTGAAAGGTCCTTTCCGACTTTAACTGTTGACCCCGTGCCAGTTAAAGTTATTCTGCACAACCGCATTAATTTTGCAGGAATGCCAAACATAGGCTTGGCTTTAAACACCTTGATTATTCGATATGGCATCTCAGCTATCCCCCTTTCCTCAAACGCTTCAGCCGAATAGATAACTTTCCAATGGCCAGCGCTCTTAAGTTCCTAGACCGAGTGGCAAGTTAGTTAGATATATCCTTTTGCACGAAATAGATGTCGAATGGTTAATTCGGGCCAACTGTAGGTTTCCGACCAGCTTAGCCACTTTGAATGAAGAACATTTTCTATAAAGAAATGACCAGCTCCTCTTCTATCATAGTAGCATTGGGACATTAGATATATGTAGTACCGTTTACCACACATCTCAGTAGCGGGTAAAGCATCCTTACTTGTATATATTGTAAATCAATCCCTCCTCCAAAATCCCTTGTAAATATTGCTTGCTTCTAATCCCGATCCTACGTAACCCTGTAAATTAATACCAATAACTTAGATTTAATATAATTTAATAATCTTGGGATCTTGAAACCACTTCCTCAAACCATTCATACAAAGCCTCTTTAGTTTTTCAAGTAGAAATTAGAAGTAGAAGAATTCTTTTTTGTTCGATGGTTTCGTTTCTCCTGTTTCGAATATTATGGCTGCTTTGTAGTTGTACTCTTAAAAAACACACACACTATAGTGTCATCCGCACTTTGTACTGCTTTGGCGATCCGAGAATCCCTTGAAACAGAAACATATTATTGAACTTTTGTCCATAATGGGCTGCAGTTTTTCCTGGAGCGTACTTGTGGGCAAGCCTTTATAAAGACAATATCATAAAGATTTCTTATGAAAGATTTTAAGAATTACTCCTAGATAAATTTATGAAGCCTCACACAGTTATATAATCTAGATCTAGAAATAGTCGCTTTTAGACAATACAATATAGGCATTGTTGCTACCACTAACCCATATACAAATATTTATTAACGTGTGCATCTCCTCCCCCACATCTATATCTATGTCTAGACATATTAAATACTTCAACAATATATATACACATATACTAATTTCTCTTAAAATAGAAAGCCTTTAATACGAGAATCAAAACTTATTATTAAATTTGATCTCCAAACTTTTCTACATTAACTACTTTCACGCCCCAATTTTTTAGCAATTTATGACGTCAAAAACCCCTAGAAAGCAGAAAAATAACAACAAATAGACTTGGAAACTTTTCCCCTTTTCTTTTTGGGTAAAAGTTATTTGTCACTTTCATCTAGATTTTCACTGACAAATCATATTTCGCCGAGAAAAAGAAAAAAAGATTTCGTTTTTTATGCTGTTTGTTCGGTTGATTTTTCTGAAAATGGAAATGAAAGCGAATGCAATTTGTTTCCTTTCGCTGGAGACAGAAACCTTGTCATAACAATAAAAAATGGCACATTTTTCGGTGGGAGGTGTTCTCTTTTTTATTTTTGCCTTTCAAATCAGGGATGCTGCAAAGATAAACACAAATTGTGGCATGTATACACATACGCGTATGAAAGAAACATATCAAGTTGCCACCTTGGGGGGTTATCAAACATTTTTGCCCCGCCAGGTTTACTGGATAATAATTCAACTATTTCCGTTGTGAATAACAAAAAACCTATACATGCATATGGAGTCGTACAATATTTATCACAGAAAAAAAAAATATATAACATTATAAAATATTTTGGGCAAATAGTTTTTAAGTGTCCATGTATGTATATGTGTATTTTGTATGCCTACCTTCGAAGTTGACATGTCACAAAGCCATCATTATCAATTATCAATCATAATTCTTGGAAATAGATTTTGATTGGTTGCCAAATCAAATGCAGTCACAGTATGTACGATTAACAATGTCAATTACCTATTTATTGTAAATGTATGAATAATTCTAGGCCATAGGTTGCATCGGAATATTAGCATTAGCGACAATTTGGATCTGTTGTAAATATTCATCCATTTCATCCCAGAAAATTTACCGATTATTACGGAAAACAATAGATATTCATTGGCCGGACGGAAAATGACTTACATGTAAAATTTCGTGACGTTTGGACCATAACCTCAAAACCACAAAACATGGACCGATATTAATATCGTATGGTAGGGTGGAGCATGTGTACAAAATCCTAAAAATACCTCAATGTTGAGGGCAAAGTTAAATGAAGTGGGACCAATATTTGGCGTTTTCATTAAAAAATACCGAAATCTGGAGGTACCATATATGGGGGCTAGTCCTAAATGATTGGACATAATACCCTGTACCACAGTGTGGTGAAGGGTATAAAAAGGGAGTTATATGGGGACTACCCCTAAAAGGGGGCGAATATAAATAATTTTTGGAAGGGAGATTTGTTACCATATACGACTACAAAATACCAAATTACAGTAATTTCGGTTGAAAAACGCGTTCAAGAACCCCAAAATACCGAAAATTGGTGTATAGCCTTATATAGGAACTACCCGAAAAATGACATATATTTATAATTTGTAGTGGAAAGATTTGCTACCCAATAAGAATCCAATGTTCTAAAGTTCAGCGAATTCGGTGAAAAACGAGTTTTTCAACCCTAACATACCGTTATATGGGGGCTACCAAAAGAAGGGAACCGATATTTATAATTTTTTGTGAAAATATTTGAAACCTAATAGGAACCCAATGTGCCAAACTTCAAATAATTCGGTTAAAAACAAGCTCTAGAACCCCAAACGCCTTCTAGAACCCCAAATTAGGGGGAACCCTTATATGGGGAATATGCCTAAACGTGGACCGATATAGCTCTCATCTGCTTGCAGACAAAAGACAACCCTATGCAAAATTTCAGCACGTTATCTCAATTCCTTCAGAAGATAGCGTGATTACAAGAGACGGACGGATGGACATGGAATTACAAAATTAATAAACGCTCCAAATTATGGTGTAGGGTATAAAAATATATATTCTTATTGGGGTAACAAGTCGTTGAAAATATGATTTAAAAACTCCGCACTAAAAGTATTCTTAAAATAGCGAACACTTACAAATCTTAATGGCTTATAAAATAGTTCACGCTTATGTTTCTAATATATCAGCAGAAATTTTAATAATATTAGGCTGGGGGAAATTAGTCCATTATTTGTATTTAATATGCTTCGGAATGTCCGATTTCGACCAAATATGCACCGTTTTGCTGTATGATTTGTTGCCATTTTAGAAGTAACTTTATAATGCCTCTCTCATAAAAGTCCTGCTCTCTATTTGCAAAAAAACACTGGTAGTCGATTTTCATAATCCTCCAAATGCAATGCAAGAACAAGTATGGAAATTGGCACCCAAGAGCTTCCTTTTGAATCCAGGTTTATGGTCGATTTTTAGGACCTGGGCAATGTTACGACTGTCGAAATGTTCATGGATTTCTTTTCCCCAACCTAATATTTCAAAATTTTTTTAAAACCATGGCGCTATCAAACATTTTTCATTATTATGGATCTAATAACGAATCAAAAGAATCACATTTCAATTCCCGAAAAAAAATAACAAATAAGTTTTTTGAAAATTCTTTAAAAACATAAACATTCTCAGAAATTCCACGCTTATATCAATTAAAAATCTTCTTTCTAAGTCTATATTACGAAGAGTTGAAATCAATTTGTATATTCATACTTTAAAGAATATAAGTCAAGTATTTTTCCGTAACCTAAAAAAAATATAGTTTTCCCCCAAAATTGTGCCAATTCATATTTTGCTGATATTGTGTTTTAATAACCCCTACCCTGAATTCACTATTGGCTGCTTGTTCAGCAGCAATCTCATACTCATGTTCTAATGTATATATGTACGTGTGTGTGTTTAAATGTAGAACTGCATAAGAGGTCTTTTTGTACAAATCCAGGTTAACGTTTTGTTCTTTGCTTTGTTGCTGTTTACCACTTTCAAGGAAAACAATTCAAATCGCTTAAAATTTATTGCAAAATTGTAGAACTTGACGAAATGGCAATAACAATATCCATTCAGTCATTCATTCGTCGCTTGTTGGTTCCTACATTCGTTTGTTTTTACCTTCTTTTGTTGTTGTCGATGTTGCCATTATTTTCTCAAGCTTCAAAGTGCTTCAAAGTTTTTGTTGTTTTTCTGAGAGTATGATGACATCATGACATCATTGTAACGCAATAACGCAAATAACGGCGACTGTGAACGATTTTGTCTGCCAAAAACAAAAACCGAAAAACAAGGGGGGCAAATGGGAAGATGGCAAATGACATTTATACTCGTCTCTTTGGTTAAGGTTTCTGTTTATTTTCTTCTGTTTCATTATTTTGGGTTTATTGTAATGGTGGTCGGGGGTATGCGAGTGTGTCGGTGTGTGTTCACATTTATTGCAGTGGTAGTATTTATTTGTTTAGGTGTTATTTTTATTATTTGTGTCTCATGTTTTTTTTTTATTTACCTTAGCGTGTATGTGAGTCATAGAGTACACATGGAATTAATTATTTAATGGAATGACGATCGACATAAGTTGTAAAAGTCATGAAAAACCAAATAGAAATATATTCCCTAAATAAATTGTTATTAATTTACCTTTGACGAGTAATTACTTAGTTAGGGAAATTTCCATATTTTGAGGTTATGATCTGTGATCAATTGAAAATGTAAACAATCCTTTATAAATGTGTAACAGAGCAATATGTGAGTATGTAAGACTTGAACCTATCACAATAGGGATTTGATTACATGGTATTTTTGCAAATATAAATATTTACTTCGTGAAAAACAGCAGTAAAACAATATGACAAAATGCAAAACATTCCACATTCCACTTTTTGTTAGGGGAGGCGTATGATTGACAAACCATATGTACATTATTACACATACGACCCTATGGACGCACGATGTCAACAAGTCATACCAGTGTTGGGCGGACGTAATAGAGAATTCATCTCCGAAAATAACATAGCAATAGATAACAAATGAGAATGCGTTTTTAACCATTTACGCTAACGTATGATTTTAGCAAGTTTTTAGAATCACTGGTCTATACCCAAAATTCTACATAATGTTTGTCATTTCGTTTATAACTCATCGAAATATTCATTTCGACCCTATAAAGTATATATATTCTTGATCAGGGTTAAATTCTAAGACGATCTAGTAATGTCCATCCGTGTGTCTGTCCGTCCATCTGTTGTAATCTGCAGGCAGGTCAAGTTCGAAGATGGGCTACATCGGTCCACGTTTAGGTATAGCTCCCATATAAGGGTACCCCTATTTGCGGTTTTTCTTGAGCGCGTTTTTCAACTGAATTCGCAGAAATTTGTTACATTGAGTTCTAATTGGGTAGCAAATTTCTCCACAAAAAATTATGAATATTGGTCCATTTGTTCGGGTATCCCCCATATAAGGGTACCCCCCAATTTTCGGTATTTTGGAGTTCTTGAGCGCGTTTTTCAACCGAATTTGTTGCAATTTGGTATTTTATAGTCGCATATGGTAAAAAATCTCCCTACCAAAAATTAATAATATTGCCCCCCCCTTTTTTTTTGGTTCTAAGACTCTGTTGTAATCATTTCACCTGTGGAGGATATCGAGATAAAAAAAACTAGAACGTAAGATTCGATAATAAACTATAATGAACGGTATTCCCCATCTTCGAACTTGAACTAAGTTTGAAAGAAATAATAAGATGGGCAAATTTTCTGAAATTTTTCGTACGCTATATTCTGAAGGAATTGAGATAGGGTGATGACATTTTGCATAGGATTGTCTGTAGCCAAGTCAAGTTCGAAGATGGGCTATATCGATCGACGTTTAGGCATAGCTCCCATATAAGGGCACCCCCTAAATTTTGGTATTTTGAGGTTATTGACCGCATTTTCCAACTGAATTTTCAACTGAAATTTGTTACATTGGGTTCTTACTGAGTACTTAATTTCTCCACTAAAAATTTGAAATATAGGTCATTTTTTTCGGCAGCTCCCCATATAAGTGTACCCTCCAATTGAGCGCAGTTGTGAACCGAATTCACTGTAGTTTGATATTTTGTGTTCACATATGGTAAAAAATCTCCCTACCAAATAATGTTAATATTCGCGCGCATTTAGTCCCCATATGACCTCCTTTTTATACCCTTCACCACACTGTGGTACAGGGTATTATGACTTTGTGCATATGTTTGTAACAGGCAAAAGGAATCGAGATAGACCCATGTTTCCTTTTGTGAATATGCATAGAATCACTTTCCGAGTCGATTTATGCATTTCCGTCTGTCTGTCTGTCCGTATGTTGGTGTTAAATTGTAAACAAAGTACAGCTCGAATTTATGATCCGATTTGGATGAAATTTGGTACATGTCATTTATTTGGCCCATGGACGAACCCTATTAAAATTGAGAAAATCGGATAAGATTTAGATATAGCTCCTGTATATAGTTTCGTCCGATTTTATGTAAATGGTGCACCAAAGGCCCTATATATTTTTTGATTTCCACGAAATTTGGAACAGCGTACTAAATTGAGCCTAGCATGATATGTGTTAAGTTTCGTGGAAATCGGTTCAGATTTGGATATAGCTCCCATACATATTTTCGTCTGATTTAATGTAAATGGTTCACCAAGTCCTTATATATATTTTGATTTTCACGAAATTTGGCATAGCGTAATGAATTGAGCCTAGGGTGATGTGTGTTAAGTTTCGTGGAATTCGGTTCAGATTTGGATATAGCTCCCCTATATATATTTTCGTCCGATTTAAGTAAAAAATTCAAAGTCCCTATATATTTTTCGATTTGCACGAAATGGGCATAGCGTATTAAATTGAGTCTAGAATGAGATTGAGATAAAATTTTGAACAATGCGGCATACCGAATAGCGTGTATAAAGTTTGTTATAAATTGATTTACATAAATTTGTCCCATTACAATCGACTCTAAATCTGCCTGAATGAAATGACTCTAAATCTGCCCGAATGAAAATTACATATTTAAATTCTTTCAATTGGATCCATATCTAGAATATACCCAAAGTGGTGAAGGGTATCATATAGTCGGCCCAGCCCGACTTTACTACATTCTTTACTGATTCAGACTTAAAATTCCATCCCCAAAAATGTTATTTAAAGAAAACCCTATGTTTATTTCCAATTAACGGAAATTATCCCAATGTATACTATTCCAAATTACATATTACAAAATTACAACAACTACTATACTCGTATATCATTACTGTTATCTTTAATTTTCTTATTGTTGTTCTTTTCTTCTTTTCAGTATTACGACTTTGCCGATATTGCCGAAGATGCTGCCCGTAAATTTGCCGAATTCTTATCCGTTCGATTTCCCACATCTCCGCCCTCGGTAATCACCGATGAAATACGTGACGAAGTGAGACGTCGTGCCAATAGCATTGCCAGCAGTGCCCTCAATGAGGATGAACATTTGTTGGCATTCGCTTTGGCAGCACCGAGTACCCATACGGTTGTGGTTAAATTTAAAGATAATGTTACGGTAAGTTTGTGTCTGTGGGTGTGTGTGATTGAGTGTCGAAGTAATATAAAAGCAAGCAAACCACGATAATCGCAAATGACATTTTAATAGATTTTTTTGGTGTTGCTGTTGTTGAACTTGTCTCGATTTATTTATTTATTTTTTTGTTTTTTAAATGGGAAAGAAAATAAATTTATTTTTAATAATGTGGAGGGATGTACTTGGCCAAATGGAATTATTGTGCTAATGAAATATGTGACAAACATTAGTAACTTAATAGATATTTCAGAGGTTTTCTTATTAGGGGATCTTCAGAAGGTCTTCAGAGGGTCTTGCATATGGAATACGATATGTATACATTTTATAACTTACAAATGCACTTGCATATATAGGCATTTAACAAAATATCCTAACGAAGTGAGAATTGCTATATACCGTATAAAAGCGAAGTTCTCCTACATCAGTCTTATTTGCGGCCATGCTCCGACGGAAGCCACTGATGAATGACCTGGCCATGACATTGAACTTCTTCTAGGAGATTTCAATACAAAAATTTGAATCGAAATTATTTTTGGCCCCACCGTCGGAAAATTCAGCCTTCATAAAGAATCATCCGACAACGACATGAGGTTGGTTGACTTAGCGGCAGCAAAAAAACATGGTAGTTAGCATCACCAAATTCAAGCATCTCGATATACACAAGGCCATCTGGAATTCTCCTGATCAAGCAACAAGAAATCAAATTGATCATTTTGTGATTATAGATGGAAGGCATCCATCCAGTGTATTAGACGTTCAATCGATCCGAGGAACGAATATCGAACCACTACCTTTTAGCAGCCAAGGTTCTCACTAGTTGTAATGTAGCAGCATAGGTGCGATCTAACACAACACGAAAACTCGAAACTTGTCGAAAAGCTGCAAACACAACAGGTAACAGAAGTCTTTTCTGCTCATCATACCCACCTCTTTGACGAAAGCACTCCTTGGCCCGATAATAATATAGAAGCACAATGGCAAAAAATTGCCCACTCCCTACAAACTGCAGCAAAAGCAACACACTTGGGTACGAAAGACAACCATCAAGAAACCCATGGTACGATCAGGAGTGTCGTTATGCTACTGAGGTCAAAAACACAGCGTATATGGCTACCCTGCAGACAGTGTGCAGGAGTAAGAATGAAGTTCGAAAATGTTACCAACGAGCATATCTTCCTGTAGAGATGAAAATGGAGATGAAAATGAAAAATCAAGAAACCCATGGTACGATCAGGAGTGTCGTTATGCTACTGAGGTGAAAAACACAGCGTATGGGCTACCCAGCAGACAGTAGCAAAACGTATTACGAGAGAGAATTATCGGGAGAAAAGAGGAGAGGAGAAACGTATTTTCAAAAAGAAAATAACAAGAAAAACGTTAGAGAATCGAGATGTGCAGGAGTCAGAATGAAGTCCGAAAATGTTGGAAAATTGGTGATAGATATAGACAGGGTGTTGAGGGTCTGAAAGAAGCATTTTGAAAAGCTTCTGGTATCAAATAATAACGGTGAGGAATATACCCCAGAGATGACGGTATAGAGTGTATACCCCCTAGCCTAGATGAGGTCACAATAGCAATTAATCGACTAAAGAATAATAAAGCAGCAGCTGTCTATGGATTACCAGTCGAACTATTCAATACCGATGGTTAGATGCTGGTCAGGAACATGTACCAGCTGATTAGTACAATTTGGCTAGAGGAATTCATCCTGGAAAAGACCCACGTTTTGTCGACTACAAAGCCGCATTCGAAAGCCCAATCCGCTCAGAGGTGTTCTGAAGCCATGTCTGCATTTGGAATTCCTGCAAAATTAATACGGCTATGCAGGACAATTTTAACTGCGACAAGATCAGCAGTCAAAGTCGGAAAGAACCTTTCAGAGCCCTTCAATACCGAACGAGGATTCAGTCAAGGTGACAGTTTGTCATGTGACCTGTTGTGACCTGGCAAGAGAGGCAAAGGTGAACAGAAATTACACTCTGTACACCAAATACAACAAGTTACTCGCCTACGCCGACGACATAATGGATCGAACATTGCGATTGGTAACAGCCACAAACAAATTGAAAAGGAGTCTGCCATAGTGGGTCTGGCAGTAAACGGCAAGAAGACCAAGCTGATAGTATCAACGCGCAAGACGTCCAGTAGACTCGGGCCAACTGTGGAAGTTGAAAACTACAGCTTCGTCGTAGTGAACGATTTTATACACATCGGTACCCCGAAAACAAAACTAATAACATCAGTATTGAAACTCGGAGAGAATAGTGTTGGCCAACAGAAGGCTTTAGACGAATTTTCAAATTCTTAGAGGGTCGAAAACGTATACGTATAAAATTGTAGATATAGTATTTAACCATTTCCAATATTTTAAAGTTTTTAGCTTTCATTCTTCATCGACCGAAGTGGCTGCTATGTGACATTTCGAGTGCGCCGAAATTTTTTCAACATATTTATGTCTATATTTTTATATACCATTCATATACAGGTCCCGACCAATTATCGATATAATAAATCTGTCCAGGTCAAGTTTTTCATTAATGGCAGACTTCTACTGTTCTTCTATACATAGACTTGTTTCTGCTGCCTTTATTCCAAATTTAGAAGACGCCTTAACCGAATTTGATACGCCGAAGTTTTTTCGATAATTACCTGATTATCTTCGTACCGGCCCGGTTTACAAACAAGCATTTTCTATGGCAAATATATAGCTGGAAGACTTTTATATGTTGCATATAAAGAGGATACCTTCAGTTTTTACAGGCCTTCTGCGGATTTTCTATATATAAAACTAGATAGCTTATTTATACAGGTCTTACATACATGGAATACGTTAAATTTTCGCCTACTCCTGTCCAGTCAATTTAAAATTACAATTTCCTATTTTTGTGTTCTCTTACAGATACCGCCCGATCAGGTGCACAATCGCGGCTTCTTAGGTTCATATTGGCGTGAACTGGGACATGCCTGGAATAGCACTGAAGGTTCACAAGAATGGGGTGCACCATTTCGAGACTGTAATTTATTAGTAAATCGTTGGTTGTGGCCATTCAGGATATCACTGGTGGAATCAAAATTCAAGTAAGAACCCGTTGAACTACTATTTCGAAGTTGTAACAAAAAAATAAAAATAAACTCATAACTCTTTTTTTTAGAATTGTGGCAGCTGCCTTTATTGCTGCCGATGAAGATGTTTGCAACGATGGTCTGGAACAAATATTTGGACGCAAACATGGGTAGGCAGAAATATTGTATTTTTCATTAAAAATAAAAAATAATTTTTCCTCCGTTTTAACTTTTTTTATAGTTGCGATCGCAATACCACCTTTTGTTTATTAACGGAAAATAAACCCGCCGCCACCAGAGATGTCTACACCTGCATTTGTCGGGAATCATACTATTTACCCAATTCCACACTGCAAGGATTCCGCGGTGATATTGTTGAGATGTCTGAGGGTTTCGACAACTATTCCTGTATCCCGTGTCCGGCTGGTTGTTCGAACTGTGATTCAAATGGTGTCTGCCTGTTCGGTGAAGATCAGGAGGCCGTGTCCTTGGAGAGTTTGCTTAAGGTGTCCGTAGGCTCGGTATTGGGAGCCTGTATCCTGTGTTGCTTGGTTTTAAGTATCATTGTGTTTCGTCAAAGAAAATGCAAGGTGAGTGAGAAGTGTTTTATCGATAAGTGAGGAAGATTAATGATTTTATTCCCAGGCCATTGCATCGGGTATGTGGACGGTGTTGGAAACTATTTTACTGGGTATTGTGTTACTCTATGCATCGGTAAGTGTGTGAATGATAATACCATTTAATTTAACATTCTCATTTAATTCAATTCCATTTTGCCAGGTTGCCATCCATTTCTTCCCTGCCTCCACGGAACGTTGCATTATTGAACCATGGCTGCGTGAGTTGGGTTTCATTACCTGTTATGGTGCCATTATATTGAAATTATATCGCCATTTGGTTGATTTTCGTACACGAAAGGCACATCGCTGGGTTCTACGTGACGTCGACTTACTCAAATATTTGGGTACAATGGTATTTGCGGTGGCCTGTTATATGGCGGCATTCACCGCCTCCTCGTTGGATCTATTGAAAATCGCTAACTTGGATAGTTTGCGAGAGGTGAACACGAATACCTGCCAACCCCTCAATTGGGAATACGTAACGCAACACAGTGAAATACTCATATTGATATTTGGTCTACATTTAGCCTATGCCAGTCGCAATGCCAATACACAATTCAGGGTGAGTGTTAGAGTGTGGTTTGTTATTGAATTAAACACACAAAATTAACAGATTATGAGAGGCTTATTATGAATATTATTATTATTTTATTAAGTTCAGTGCTTGTGACAGAACATTTGTTCCATATGCCGAGCTTAAAAATGTTTTATAGACGCGTTGGTCTTCTGCGCAGCTCTTCCAATTTGAAAGACCATGTTCCGAAATGTTGACTTCTAGTTGATCTTTCCATCGGATTCGTGCCCTTCCCCTTCTGCGTGAACCATCAGTTGGCTGGCTTTTATATGCCTTTTGTGCTGGGGCATGTTCATATATTCTTACAACATGACCTAGTCAACGTGGTCGCTGCAGCTTGATACGTTTGACTTTGTTGATGTCCGAGAATAGATGGTTCATTCGAAGGCGATATTAACCGTCAACGCAGATCGGCCCATAGATCTTTCGGAGATTTTTTCTCTCAAACACTCCAAGAGCTGCATCAGCTATATGCACAAGTACCCATGTTTCTGATCCATACAACAGCACGGGTAATATCAGCGCATTGTAAATCGTGAGTTTGGTCTGGTGATGATGAATTGCTTACTCAGCCCATAGTAACATCTGTTTGCCAACATTATCCTTCGCTGAATTTCAAAACTGATATCATTAGTTTTATTTATGGCGGTATTGAGGTATATAAAATCGTCACTACCTCTAAGTTGTAGTTTTCATGTTCCACATTTAGTCCGAGTCTACAAAACGTCTTGTGCGTTAATAGCTTAGTTTTCTCGCCATTTACTGCCAGTCCCATTTTGACAGAAATGTAACATAAGCCGTTTGGTGTACAGAGTGTCATTTCTGTTCACATTTGCATCTCGTATGACGTTTTCCAGCAGCATGTTAATAAGATCACACAACAAACTCACCTTGTCTGAATCCTCGTTCGATATTAAAGGGCTCTGAGAGGTTCTTTCCGACATTAACTGCTAATCTTGTGCCAGTTAAAGTTATCCTGCAAAGCCGTATTAATTTTGCAGGAATGCCGAACGCAAACGTGGCATTAAACACCTCTAAACAGATAGGACTGTCAAATGCGGCTTTGACGAATAGATGGAATATGTCGATGGATCTTTTCCAGGATTTGGCTCAGAGTGAAAATCTGGTCAATGGTGGATTTGCCAGGTTTCCTCTCAACGGATAGGACTGTCAAATGCGGCTTTGACGAATAGATGGAATATGTCGATGGATCTTTTGCAGGATTTGGCTCAGAGTGAAAATCTGGTCAATGGTGGATTTGGCAGGCCTGAAGCCGCAATGGTATGGTCCAATAATATTATTGTCATTGGCCATTCATTCGTTCACACAGTTCGCTGGATAACACTTTATATGCGATGGGAAGGAGTTAACTTCTATATAGTTGGCACATATCGTCTTGTCTCCTTTTTTTGGTGCATACATTCATCTAGCCAAACTGTTCAAATCAGGCAATTCTTTGCATTATGCTTATGCGTGGGCTAGTTGAGCGGAGTAGGCTTCTGTTATCTGTTGTGTTTGCAGCTTTTCGACGTCGAGTTTCCGTGTTGTGTTAGATCGCATCTTTGCTGTTACATTGAGACGAGTGCGAACCCTAGCAGCTACAAGGTAGTGGTCTGAATCGATATTCCCTCCTCCGATTGATTGAACGTCTAAAATACTGAATAAATGCCTTTCATCTATCACAACATAATCGATTTGATTACTCGTTGTTTGATCGGGAGAAAGCCAGGTGGCCTTGTGTATATCGAGTTGCTTGAATCTGGCGCTGAATCTAGTCGTCAACATGAATATTCATAAAATGGGTCGGGAATTTTATAGGAGTGCTATATCACAATATGGTGCTAAATTTTAAATATAGGATCATCAGAATATAACTATAATTTGCAATTATTTATATTTTTTTATTTTTAAATCTCTTAACTAATATAATATCTTCAATATTTGTTTGCAGGAGCGACAATTTCTGGAAATAACTCTAATCATTGAATTTGTGGTATCCTCAATATTTTATATACTACGATATTTATATTTACCCGTCATGAGTCCGAGTGCCATATTTTTGGCCCTCTTCATACGTTCGCAGCTAACCAATACCATTGCATTGGGTTTAATTTTTGTGCCAAAGTTGTGGTATCAACACAAACAGGTGAGTTCATGTTGTTGGAGGCGAGATTTTGTTTTTGTTTTCGTTTTTGTTTATTTTAATTTTAATTTTTTTAGTTAAAAAATATAATTATTTGAAAAGTATAAAGTAAAGACAAAGAAACATAATTATTCACATTTTCAATGTGAAATAAAAGTAATAAAATTGTAACAATAAATAAAATGGGAATCGGTTTTTGTCTGTACAGTTAAAAAAAAAATTAAAAATGTGTAAACGATAATACAGACATGTGCTTTTTTAAGAAAAAAAAGAAAATATTTTATTTATTTATTTTGATTTGTTTAAAACATTTGAATTTAATAAAAAACCAAACTAAAAATCTTGTATACAATTGTAATTGTATACATTTGTAATATACTAACCGAGCTATGAAGTTGCTGCAAGTGTTTTGAGATTATTTTTTGTTTTTAATTTTTTATTAATTAGTTTTACCTCCCGGTTGTTACTTATTTAGATTAACTTTTTAAGTTTGTAATTTAAATGTTTTGGTGTGTTTGGAAATCTCTTAAATACCGTACAGTGTTGTATTGCATGCTATTTTGTTTTATTCCATATAATTTTAATTTTGATACCAAATTGTTTCTGATTTTCTTTTTTATATGCTGCACATACACACATTTACACATTTAAAGCAACAACAAAATAATTCAAAATATCCCTGCATGTTTGAAATAGATGTTCTCTCTTCTTCCAAAATATATCCTCAAAATTTTAGAAAACAATTTTCTAGTTCTTTTTTGTTTGTTCTCTCTTTTAACTGTCCATACTTTGTCTATAATTTCCTTCTTTAATATTTCGGAATGAAAAAAACCCCAACAACATTCTGCTTGTAATGCTACACAATACACACATTGAAAACAACAACTAAAAATCTATAAAAAAATCGGTTTCCTTTTAGAGTGCAAAACTAGCTGAGCAATGAAAAAATAAAAAAAAAAAATATCTTTCTATCTGAACTGTGGAACTATTTTTTCAAAACCTAAGTGTCGTCTATGACTTCTATTTCAAATAAAAATTATATATAATTTTTAAGTTTATAGTTTTGTATTTTTTCGGTTACATTTTAAAAAATATGGACTTAAAATTTATGATTTCTATATTATTTAAAAAAAAACTTATTTTTTGTTATAATTTTGATTTCTTTTTTTTAATTTTAGCGCGCTCATCATAGACACAATGTTTAATGAAAAAAAAATAAAAAAACAAAAATCAACAAAACATATCTACAACAATCATACATACATACTAAAATCATAACTACTCTCCACCACCCACTTTGCCTTACCAACTTAACAGTCATCCTATTTTTGGTTTGTCCAGCCAACTGTCACCAACATCAATTTCCACATTTTCATTTTCCGTTTCTTCTTTTAATTGTACGCTACATCTTTGTGAGCAGATTACTTTTGTGGTTTTCCTTTTCGTATTGTTTCCTTTTTGCGTTTTGTTCCTTTTCTTCTTCTTCTTTTTGTTTTCCTATCTCTGTGTGTGTGTTTTGCGGTGTTTTGGTTGCATCTTCATAGCTTGCAGGTCCGTTCCCTTGCCCATGATCTATCCTTACGTTTACCTGTGGATGCTTTCAAGGGTTCTCATGATGTTGGTCAACGTCTGGGTGGTGGCTATGCCGGCCTATGTTTGGGTGATCCTGATATCGGTGAACTGACAATATCGGAAATGAGTCCTGAAGATATACGTGCTGAACTCAAAAGGTAAGCACATACATACAACCATTTAACGTATGTATGTACAGGGTGAGGTAAAAAAAACTGCCACCAAGTCAAACGCCATAATTTTTACATTTTTTTTTAATTTTATTGAATGAAAGCAAACAAATGTCGGAAATAGCATCAAATTTTAGAATAAGTTTAGACTGGTTCGAATTGGTCACCTTTGGCACGAATTATGGCCTTCAAACGGCCAATGAAACCGTCACACGCTGACCGAATGTTGCTTTGCGGTATTTTGCCCCATTCCAGACAAAGCGCTTACTTGGGGTGATCGACACTTTGGTATTTTTTAGTGCCAACATTGCTTTCCAAAATATTCCAGACACAATAGTCCAACCGATTGGTATCCGGTAGATTTTGGCGGTCATTGTGCGGTGGAAATGTAGCGAGGAAACTCATTCTCGGGTGGCGCGTGCGTTGGTGCTGAGTTCTGTTGGAATGTCCATGGTCTGCGGCCAAAATGTTTGGCTGCGAAGCAACTCTTTAGCTCTTTTGAGTCTGTTTTCTTTCTGTTGCGGTGTAAGTTCTTGCACTTTTTGGATTTTCAATGGCTTTGCCCCCAGCACTTTTTCAATATTTGCCGAATGGAATATTGCGATATCTTCAGCTCAACGAGCCCTTTTTCCGCCTCTGCGATGCGGGTTTCGATCAAGTATTTTCGAAACATTTCTTCGCCCTAAAAAAGGCATAAAGCTTAAAAAATCAAAAATTCAGATTGAGCTCGGCTTGGATTTGAACCCTTTGCGTTCAAAGCCACCTCCTTATCTTCCCATGGTTGCACAATATGCGGTTGTATACCATTGAAGACAAAATATCGGAGTCTGTATGGAAAAAAAGTCCGTCACTCAAGAAAAATCTGCTCTGAAAAGGAATGTTCTGGTGTGTTGCCAAATGTGCGAACCTTGACACGGTTGAACTTAATTCGTAGATGCAATTTCGCAAAAATATTGGACATAAATACAACATATCAAGTAACGACATTTGTAAGCCGCATTCCCAATATGCCTGATTAACCGCTTAACCAACGGCGAAACGCGTCGCAAAATGATGGGCTTTCCCTGGCCTTCCTTTTCATTCCATTACGAATAATTCTCACCAAAGTGCTTCTGTACGCTTGTACACTGGCTTAGAAATGACAACAGTCTGAAGTTGGTTGCAGTTTTTTTATCTCACCCTATATATATGTATATATGCACAACCAATCACTTAAAATATTAATTTAATTTTCCAGACTGTACACACAATTAGAAATATTGAAAAATAAAACTTTACGCCAGGATAATCCACATATCAGCAAAAGACGTGGTGGACGTAAAGCCGGCCATAGACGTTTCTCTCTACAGGTAAGTCACACACACACACGCGCCTTAGTAGACGTTGAATATATCAAAAAAAGAAAAACAGATTTGAATTTCAGTATTTCCATTGTAAATAGAATTAGCCATCGATTATTTTGAGACCGATTTTATTTTTGAGTATTTAGTATGTACATTATAAGAATTGCGTCAATAATTTCCCTAGGCTAATAATGGCAATCCTTGTAAACAAATCTTAAAAAATAAAATTAGAATATATTACGAACAACAACAATGTACATATGTATATGTGTACAGTACGTACAGCGTGATGATTCCTTAATAATATAGTACTAATGATTTCCCCATTAGATTCATAGTTGAAAAGTTGTAAAATTTTAAATCCAATATTAATCGAATTAAGTGTCCGATTTAAGCCAAACGTTGCACATTGTGACACGTTTACCAAACCTAGATCAATATCGAAGATGGGAACTTTTAGTCCACTCCTTCTCGTGCCACCCCCCACAAAGTCTCTAAAATTGGAAAACTTGTAAACTTCATATGAGTCCAATAAAGTATCCGAATTGCGGAGGGCCTGTATTTGTCGTGTTGTATCCTCAAAAATATCTATTTAACGCTCAGTTTTAATTGAGACTGTTTATTTAATTCAATGTTGGATATTACAATTCATTGGTTTGTTCCCGTACAGCAAGAATCTACAACTTTTTACTACGATAACGAAATTTCCTTTATGTTATCGAAGAAAATAGTAAAATCTAGTAGATTCTTTCAGAAGGGGAACAGACCACATGTTACTCAATATAACTACTTATCGATAATATATCACTCGATAACCATTACATGACATTTATACAATGTGACAGTCGACAAAACCGATTGACTCTTTTTTAACTATATATTGTACTGTGTATTTAAATATGTATATAAAGTGAACAATACTTTTTTACAATATATCTGATGTCAAACTTTGTCCCGCTTTGACATCTCCCTTTAAAAATTAAAATTTTTGAATCATACATATAAATATATAAATAAATCGTAGTATACATATATAGATTATTTACACCCAAACATTTATAATAATATTATGTATTATGTACATTTCCATGTGTTGTGATTCCATCATTACCATCATATCGCGAACTAAAATCGTTTTGTTCCCACGCCAAAATTTTGTTGTTCTCAATTTACAAAAATACACAAAAAACAAAAATGTTCCCCCCAACAATCCACAGAAAAAGGGAAGCAAGGACAAGGTAAGCAAAGTGTCTATCATCTGTATAAGAAAATAAAGATACAAAAAATAAAAATGAAACGCATCTTAAGAAATCAATGCAACAAAATCGTAAATCCCTCACACAAGAGAAAAACTAAAAACGACACCTATCTCTTAGTTAAGCAATTGGTGTAAACCCCATCCATCCCCATGAATGTACTCGTATGTGTTTGTGTGTGTTGGTTTATTTCCCCCCTGTAATCCAACCGGGATATGCATTTGTCATATCCATAATTATATACCCATTTCCTGTGTTCTGTCCTTCTATTTCTGTATGAATCTGTTTATTGTTGTTGTTATTGTATATTAAATATGTCCTGTATGTAATTGAGTTTGTCCTTCCCATGATTTTCTAAATTTTACATGTACGTGATAATATCTATTACGTCGATTTATTTGCTAAATCAAATTGTATTTAACTTGATCTATTATGCAAAATTTAGACCACGAATAACCGCAATTTGTTCGAAATACTGTGTGGAATTGAAATAATTTAAAAATACAACTGTTGCATTTTAAACGGGCATTTAAAAATGGCCACGGAAATTATAAAGCCAACGCAATGTAAACAAGTATCAGCTGACTATCTTTTATACGAATCCATCGCTACATTTTATTAGTACTGGTATTTCAATTACAAAGCACTTAGAGGGCAGTTCGGAAACTTTTTAGCCTAGCACAAAAAGCGCGGTATAAACAGAAAAAAATTAAGTGTTTTGGAAATTTCCATCTTGGTTATGAACACATGTTAAATTTTGTTTCGATCTGGCTGCCCATATAGAAACACACGCATCCGCATTTTTTTACAATGGAAAAATTAGAAATGCCTGCTGTCAATAAATATTAACATAAAAAAAGGTTTATCGGGACAAGAAATTCATAATGATATGGTGAATGTGTTAGGTGAAAGTGCTAAATTTAAACGTGGTCGTACAAGACCACGACCTTACGGAAACTTTTGTAATCAAGGGATAGAATTGCTAGAAAAGCGTTGGACTAAGTGTATTGAAGTTTCAGGAGATTATATTGAAAAATAAAAATATTTTTAAAAAACTAACTATTCACTATCATTGATAGGCTAAGAAGTTTCCAAACCACCCTCGTAGAGTACCGATCGACATGATTTTTAAGTTGAGGTACAAAATTCTAGTTGGTTAGACTACTATAGGTTCGTTCGTTTACTCAATATTTTGTACAATTTATTACAAAATATTGTTCGTTTACCCAAAAGTTCAGTAAGTGAAGAGAGTGAGAGAGTTGACAGTTGTGTTACTGAGTATTTGCTAAAATTTACTCAGTAAGAATTTTATAGTACCATCAGCTGATATTTAATCAGCTGTTTTGTAAACAGACAATAAACCAGTTTTCAAGCAAATTGATTGTTTTGTGAATTTTATTTTGGTTTTGTATCATTAAACATTAAAATGGTTACAAATAGAGAACGATTTTTTAGGTTCCAAATACCAACAAAAAAGTGTGCATCCCTAACATGTCTGGAAACACCATCGATGCTTCTTTTTTTTTGTTAACACCAAATTGTTGGTCTATTCCCGTATTGCAAGGATCTACTAATTTTTACTATTTTCTCCGATGTCATAAAGAAAAAATTGTTATCGTAGTAAAACATTTTACATTCTTGCAGATTCTATGAGAGGTCATGTCCCCGTACTGCAAGAATCTTCTCGATTTTATTATTTTCTTCGATATCATAAAGGAAAATTCGTTATTTTGGAGAAATTATGCATTTTTGGTGCAAAAGCAGGATTGTGTTTTAAATTAACTCGATTTAGCACATGATTTCGAGCAAATCGAGATATTGAGCAGATATAACTTTACATGGTAAATTATTAAAATAGGTTTATAGTACGTTTACATTTAAGATATTTAGTTAACACAGTATGTTTCAATTGTCAATCCCATTGCCTATTTGTCAAATAAATCCTCATTTATATATACGGGTTAAAATCGACTCGATTAACGAAATCCAGAAATACACCCTAATTGTTTACACATGCCTTTAAACATAATCTAAATGGTGTTCAGCTGATATTTGTTAGTATACATACAAAATTATGAAGTGGCGCCAAATGTATTTGTTTGCAATTTGAATTTGAAATAAAAAGAAAAAGAAAAACTACAAAAATGTCTATATGATACAATTATGATGATACAATTATTGGTAGCGCATCCAACCTCATAACTATTAAATCCAGGATATCTAAATTGACACTTACATTACATATATGTAAAAAAAATCCTCATAGAGGAGGTTAACCTGGCAAAAAGTTCTAACGTAAATGCCGTTTAACTCTCCGTTTTATTTTGGCAAAATCATATAATTGATATAGTACAAATATTAAAATATACATATACTATATTCATTTGTTCATTTCTTCCTTCCACGATTAATCTATGTATGTTTGTAGTAAAAAATAAGCATGTTTCTGATATACAATTACACACTCTATTATCTGCATTTTTGTATGTATTTTTATGTATCAATAAATAAAATTTGTTTGTTTTCTTTTCCCTCCTTCACAGGCCCTGAGTGCCAAGCATCGTAGTAATAAACATCATCAAGATATTGAAATTACCGAAGCAGAACCATCCCGTACCCCAGAGGACTCAGTGTGTAGCAATGAAGGACCCACAGACACCTACGCAGAAATATCCGGCATTTCACATTCAATGTTAAGTCATTCGGTTGTATCTCATTCTATGGCATCGCATAATAAATAAATACTTACTATATATAGATAATATATATATATATACAAACAAATTGACAACTATCTCAAAGACAAGAAAACAAAAAACCCAACAGCGGCAGCAGCAGAGCATTAAACTAAACAACAACACAATAATTATTACAAAAATAATAAAACAAAAAAAATATTAAATTGTAAATATAATAAAAAATAAACAAAAAATGATATATTATACAAAATAAATTAAAACAAATCCATATATACATACATACTTAAATATATGTTATATACACACATATAAAGTAAAAAAGAAATTATGTAACCAAAAAAGAAGAAACAAAAAAGAAAATAAAGTTATATAGAAAAATGTTTTGTTTTTATTTGTGCGATCGAGGATGATGAAAAATAACTTAAATAATAAAAAAAATATAACAACAAATAAAGTGGCCAGAAAATTAATTACTTTATTTTATAAAAAAAATTATGAAAACTAATAACAAAAAAAAAATAATACAATATTTACATATATATAAAATATATAATAAAATAATTGTATAAAACGTTTGATAATGTGTTTAATAATAAAATGAAATATAAACAATTAAAAGAAGAGAACGAAATAATTTTGTACACTTAAAAAATAAACATTTTTATTACACTAATTTATTGAACGGAAACTGTACGGAAATAGAAAACACATGTTACAATAAGAAGGTATTGCAAAGCAATCAATGATTACACTTTTCCTACTATTGGCATTTTGAGTTGTATGCAATTGGTTTGAAGTGTGTTTTTTAGGGAATGGATATTGCTTGAAAATTATGAAATAGTTTAAATTAAACCTCAATTAAAATTTAAAATATGTTTATTTGCAGAATATGTGGTAATTCTCTATTAATGGAAATCTTTTTGATTTTCTCTTATACGTGTGAAAAGTTTTAAAAATTTTGGGTACGTAAAACGTTCTGTGGTTTGCGAACATAGCAAGGCAGCACCAAGAGTTGTAAATAAACTGAACTCTCTTCATACTTGCACATTAACTATGCTTTAATAAAAAATGTCATTTAAAGCGGGTTTAGGCAATAAAATCCGCTCGATTTTGTCACTCCTTTTGAGAATAAGTTAATTTGAAAATATTCACGATTATTTATCAATACAGCCTTATTCTGAATATTCCTTGGAAGATATCTCGCATGTAACAAAATTTTCGCTTTCATATTCTCCTTATTCTGATCTTATTCGCCTTATTCTGAATGCATAGGGAGACGCAAAAAATGCGAGATGCGGATTCGAGTTTTCGAAAATGGTGGTTAAAAAAATATTTATGTTGCCATATTATAATGTAAGTTGTAACGTGTGTGGCCATATTTTAATTTAAGTTGCAATATGTGTTGCCCCATTGTAATTTAATTGTGTAATATTTTTCAATATTTTATTTATTGATATTTTTATTAAAAATGTTTACTTTTTATTGTTATTTAAACTTTATAACATTACAAATGTGAAATATCAATAATCCGCTGTATAATAGCTTTGTAATTAAAGGAAAATAAATTAAAGTTTAAAAATATGGCAACCTACAATATGGCATGTGAAACAGCTGTTCATTGTTTAAATGCAATTTGGTGCAACAACTACAACAGAGAATACAACAACGAATAATGGAAAGAATCTGCGATTGAATTAAATAATTCAGTTTATTATTTCACTACATTATTTCTTCCATCAAATCATGCACACGATAATTTTGAAAAAAAATTTTTTGTTCTTTCATAATTTTTATTAAAGTTTTTAACTGTTAAGCTCATCAGGCAAATTTGCTTTTTCCATAATTTTTCAATTTTTTTTTCTTGAGAGACAGATCCTCACCCAAAATGTTTGTATTTCGCCTCCAAAATGCATCAAACTCGACTTAAATATTCCTTATTACCTTCATGCCTTCATGCATTCCTTGGCAATACTTGGTTCAGCATGCATCGGTATCAATAGGATTTCCAATGGCATTTTATTGGTTGTTTTACAGTTAAAAATTAGCTTACTATCATTTATAATATTCTACATCGTCATAGAATATGTATTGTCAAATATTTTTCATAAAAATAGTTATTACTTATGGTTTTGTAGTCAACTCCCTTTAAATTTATTAGCGAAAAATTTCGCACAAAATTTCATTTCATTCACCTACTCCCTGTAATTCAGAATACCTAATTTTTCCCCAAAGCGGATTTTTTCGCTTTCGAATTTCATTCAGAATAAGGCGAAAACGAGAATGCGAAAAAATTCACAGGAAAATGTTGTTCAGAATAAGCCGAAGGGGAAGATCGAGTAAATTCACATGGAATTGACATCCAGAATAAGGCTGAAAAGCTTTATACCATGACAGTTCGGGTACGAAACTAATATTATCGGCCATTTTGGTAGAAGATCACTCAAACTCTTAAATTTTTTCTTCACGTTTTCACACGATTAAGTCTAATTTTGACAGTTCCAGTGAAATCATTTCGCTTATTGATTTAGACAGCCATCTTCTATGAAAATGTATTTCAAAATTCCAAATTCAACACTGCTGATTAAAATTCAACACTGCTTGATAATAATTTTGTTCATTGTTTACAAAGCATACAGCAACAGCTGTTTAAATATCAGCTGATGGTACAAGAAAATTCTTACTGAGTAAATATTCTTTGTAAGAATTTGCAAATACTCATTCTAAGAAATATTTACTCACTAAAGGCTTTCAAGTAACATCAGCTGATTTTTAATTAGAAAATAATTATTAACAAAACGAACAAAACTAAACAATTAATTAATTTATTTAATTTTTTATATATTTTCCAATTTTTCCTATTTCTGCCTTTGTCGTAATTCCAAAGATTATTTTGTTTTATTTTTTTATAAAATAATATTAAAAGAGGTTTTTATTTTGTAAACGTCAGGTTAATTGGCTTCTTATGGAAAAATTAAGATGATGTCTCGACACTATATATATATATATATGAAAAGAAATAAAATAAAACTTACCATGGTAAAATTATATAAATATAATCTTTACGTTGTGGGCTATAATGTCAGAATAAATAAAAACAAATACAACAAGTCGTTGTCTTCATTTAAAATATTTTTAACATTTTACTAAAAACGCGAAAAATGAATGGAATGTCAGATTTTCTTTTCAACATCGAGTTAGGAATATGCATTATCGCGAATGTTCTGCCCATGGCACAATGAATTGGTAGTCCATTTAGAGCAGCTGATGTCTTGATTAACTGTCAAAGTGGTAAATTTTATTTGAATTCGATGTGCAATGCTGCCAAAAAAATGTTTTTGTTTTGATACATCACCTTATTATTGCATCATGGTTCTGCCATTCACTTCAACGGTAGAAGTGTATCGAACACACGTCGAGCAGTTTTGTAAAAGTACGTTTACATTGCCCCAAATTTGGTTAACCCAGTGGATTTAAATTGACAAATCTTTTGAATATATGCCAAATAAATCCTCATAAAGTAGGTAAATGCGGTAAAAAGTTCTAATGTAAATGCCGTATAACACACTTTACACTCGTGTGAAGTGAATTCTTTACACTTAAATTTTCATAGTGAGAGTCGGATGTATTCAGGGTGATATTATTGCGTATAATTTGTTTAAGATCACAAAATTAAAATGAACCGTCATTTAAAACCAATTATGAATAGATGCAGAGTCTTTAATACATATAATTTATGTTGTGAATAATAAAATATTAAGAAATAAGAACGTAATTATCGAAACAATGTTAAAAACGAATACAATTTAGATTATATGGCAACACTATTTCTGCAAAGTACCATGTTGACGTTTGTTTTTGTTGTGCAGAAGTTCGAAAATTTCAATTCACGTACCTAAATTCATGCGTACGAGTACGATTTATTCACCTCAAAAGTTAAATACATGTATTTCAATGAATGTTACCCAAATACGCATTGCGTATAAAAATTTCAACATTGAAAATGCGTATTTTGATTTTTTGTCTTTCTATAAATTTAAACATTTTTCAGTAAATAAAGAAAATTTCGCCATTTTCAATTGACAATCAAGTAAATATGGTCCTTGCGTATTTTGGTAATACGGACGTTCAAGAAACTCCGCAAAGGTGAGAAGGTGGGTATTTTACTTCGCAACGCACTGAATTTAGGTACAGGTCTAAGACATTACATACACCTTAACACATTTTGTATACGAGTTTATAAGTTGCTATGGCCTACCTTGAATAATTGTACCATGCTTCTTACTGATAGATGACATAGCTGCATGGGGAGTATTTGTTATACATTTTTTAAAACTATTTTACCTTCTTATTGTAGGATGGTATATTCTTTAATTTTAATTATTCAATTTAAAATCAAAATCTACAGTTGAATTAAATTCCAGTTATGAACGAATTCTATAACAGGAACATAACATTAAAGCCTTTTTCAATGGAAATTATAATCAGTTGTATAATTGGAGCTTATTAGTCATACTATTAAACTAATACTACTGTTACATACTATATTGTCATTGTTTCCTCATAGATACATATGTACGTATGCATGTACACATATATTTATCCCAATCATTGTATATTAAACTACATGAAATTAAAATGAGAGAAATAAGAAACTTATTTTGTTTGCAATTGTTGAGTGAATATAAGCACAATACCAGTTACATTTATAACAATGTTTTTTTTTTTTCTAAATATTTACAATTGTCAATAACACCAATTTGCATTGTTATATTTTTTTAATAAACGTTTTGTTTTCTATTTAACTATATAAAAAACAAATACAAGAATAAATACTTTAAAGAATGACAAACAAAATGTAATTTCCCTCCTATATTTATATATAGATTTATATATACATTATATTACTATATTTAAGTAAATGTATACATAGTCTTCTATATATGTATATGTATACCAACTAGAAAATAATCAAATATTTAACATTGTTTTAATGTATTTTTATTTGAATTTTTAAAATAAAAACAAACTAACTTTAACTGAAGAAAATCTAATTTCCTAACAAACACAATTACAATAAAAAATATTTTAATTAAAACAAATCAATTAAAATGTCGAACTATTTCATCTAAGAGACAACTTTAAAGTGAAATGTTAAGAACAAATTTTGATTGTTATAGTAAATCTATATATATTTACAATTAAAGTTGTCGAACCAAATAAGAACAAAGCAAAAATATGGATCTTTAAATCATCCAGAAATACTTGGATGGCACATCAACTAATTTCACCAATTGGATTTTTTTGTTTATAATTTATATGTCATTATTTCCATCAAAAACTGTTTTGACTTCGTCCAACAATAATCCCTAGGGGGAAACACATACGAGAATTCAGGCCTGGCCTGTTAAGTTGGCTTTGTATGAAATGCCAATTTCTAAAGGAATGTCAGAGTCAAACTTGATTTTGGACGCCGTTCTCCTTCATTCCTTTACAATAAAATAAGCCAACTTAACATACCAAGCCTGAAGTCCTCTTATGCGTTACTCCCTTAATTCTGCTTACAAATTTCAAATACATTTTATTTTGAATTCACAATACGTATTCTTGCAACATGCTACATTTACATCAATTTTTTTATACGAAATCATAATTATTTATTATTTTCTTTGTATATTTTCCAAATAAATGCCGATTTACACAAAATAATTCCGATACGATAAAGCAATTGATGATGAACATTTCAATGTATACGTGTCCAAATGCTTTGGATTGGATATTTAGTAGACATTTTAATTTAAAGTTGTTTTAATTGACAAAAATAATTAAAAAATGTTACATTGACGATTGATATAAAAAATGTATTAATAAAATATTTGTAGACTATATGGAACAAATTATAAAAAAAACCAACATAAACCATATTGTAAAAAACTTTAAACTATTAAACGTGTAAAAAATATTGAACACAAACATAACTGAAATGTAATTGGCGATGATATTAAGGAAATGATTAGAATAATAAAAAAATGCAGATTTAATCAAAATAAATGATCAAATGATCAATCAAATGAATTGTTTTATTAATAACAAATTGCAAAACATTTTACATTTTCTGACAAATAATTGGGTATGTTCAGGAACACATGGTGAGTTTTTTACACTTCCCCACAGAAGTTACCTCCTGCTCTGATTCTCACGTGAATTGAACATTTCGAACTTCTGCACAACAAAAACAAACATAAACGTCAACTTGCTACTTTGCAGAAATAGTGTTGCCTTACAGTATAAATTGTATAAGTTTTTAACACTATTTCTCTAATTTTTTAGTAATTTCGTTAATTCCAAAGATAATTAAATTATTCGGGTATGTTCTGGAACCCACGGTGTGTTCTTTTCACTTCACACATACACTTCACAGCAGAAGTTACCTCCTGTTCTGCATCTTACGTGAATTGAAATTTTCGAACTGCGACAAAAATAAACGCCGACATGGTACATTGCAGAAATAATGTTGCCATACAATTATAGTAAATTCTAACGATAATTTTATTATTTTTTTTTTAATATTTTGTTTTTGCAAAATAGTCAGGCTGAATCCAAGTTTGTTGTTTTTATAAAAAACAACTATTTATTAGTGGGGAATGTATGGCATTGTTTGCCGAGGGGTAAGGCAGGGAAGACTATAGTTTCGGATCACGCCACTGATCCTCATCAGTTCCCTTAGTTTCAGCCTGACTATTTTGCAAAAACAAAATACAAATGGTATCCCTAATAAACCGCCAACACTACTGATTTTTTTTAATATTTTTTTATTCGCAATATAAAATATATGTATGAAAGACTCTATAATTTCTCTTTAAATTTATTCGGAATAAATGCAACACAAACCTAAGTATCTATTTGAAATGGGGTTTTCATTTCAATTTATCTTAATTTTGTGATTTTAAACAACTTATACACAATAATAAAATATTTATCTATCATTCACTTAAATTCTGTTACAGAACAGCTCGACGTGTGTTCGATACACTTCTACCGTTGAAGTGAATGCGAAAACATGCCCGAATTTATGAAAGCAACTGTCCTATCACTTGATACTTGTCAGGCAAAGGAATAAATATTTTTTTTTTGAATAATCAAAAACGGGTAGACAAAGATTCGACCATAAAAGTAATTGGAAAACATATAAGTAAATGTTAATAAAATTCTAAATAGTTCGGTCGTCTGAAACGACCTCCTCTATGAGGTTTTATTTGGATTGAATTGACAATTTAAATCCACGGGATTTACTAAATTCACTACAATGTAAATATACTATAAGATAACTTTTACACCGAGTGTATTTTATTAAAAATTATGTCAAACAAATTACGGTTTCGTAAAACATGTGGTCAAAAAGTCAGAAAAACAGTTTTTATTTATTTATTTTTTTTTTTGGCAGTTAATGGAAGAATGTGTTGTTCTTAATTTACTTATTAATATTTATTTATACATTTGAAAAGTGTTGCCAGTTTTGTGGTCCATAATTTGTTTCGCTATTTAAATGTCATTTCGATGTAACTATTGCTTATATTTATGTTGCCATTTATACCCGTGATATTAGCATCATTATTTACGAATTCATATTGATGTATATAGCAGCTGATGGTTCTTAAATTGACATAATATTGATTCACGAATGTCGAATTGTTATCGATTTTTTCCGATCTGTTAATACCTAGTAAACTCGGTTGTTTGTTTTGATTCCTAATATTTATCAGTCATTTCTTTATACTATTCATTCTTGTTTATAGCTTTCACGGCGGATTGTCTGTTTAGGCTCTGTAGTTGAACAAGCGTGTTCCTTCAAGGAACTAGTACTTTTCTTAGTTAAGAAGATATTAAGTGCTTGTGTATCCGAGACATCAAATACATTTTTACAAATTAAGTCTTTTAAATCGAATACTTTGCGGAGGTATTTTGAATATTGATTATAATTACAAAAAATAAACAGAGGTTCTTCGGAGGAAATACACTATTAAAAAATAAAATTAAGCAATATAAATGAAAATGTCTGGAATTCTGTGGCGTTGTTAAGGATTTCTTAAAAATTTCTGAATGATTTTAAGTGAAAAATTTGTATGAATAAATTCACATATTCATCATACCTACTTAGGTACTGAACTAAGAAAATGTATTGAACAATAGACTTCAATCTAGTTCCTGTAGTTCCTTCGCGAAAACATCTCCATTGAACCAATGTATTCCGGAACAACATAAACGAAAGTAATCAAATCAAGAACAAATAAAACAAAGCAATTTTTCCACATATTTACCATGAATTCAAGCCGTTCTACATCCAGTTCATCGTCGGGTAGCACCTCTAGCAGTGGGAGCACCAGTTGCTCAGATACTACAGGTTCCTCTTCGGATACCGAAACTTCTTCAAGTGGACATGACAACAAACCTAAACTTCCCACAACAAGACGTAAAAGTTCCGAAAAAGGTACAGGAAATCAAAACGAAACGGACAGCAAGACACCATCTAAGGGCAATCCTCCCAGTAGCGGCGGTGGTGGTGCCAAATCGAATAAACCCTGTACGTATTCCAGTGACGAGGATACTCCACCAGCCAAGAAGCCAGTAAAGAGAACAAGCACAACAGCGACAACAACTACACCAACATCGAGTCAACAACGTAGAAAGAATTCGGGAACATTTACTCTGACAGCATCGAAATTGCAAACACAGGCGAATAAAACAACTGCTCCAACAGATGATGCTGGCAATAATGATAACAAGGCAAAGGCAGTCGTCCCAGATCAAAAAGAAAAGGCCCCAGCAGTGGCACAAAATAATCCTGAGAATCCAGAAAAACCCACATCTGGGGGTCCTGTCACAGCTAAACGTAAACCTGTTGAACCACCACCAACCAAAGCGGCTGCAAAAACAACCCATAGTACTAGTCCTCCCGAAACTATAGTCAAAGGTAAACAGCCACCATCCAAACGCAGTAATGGTCCCCCTCCCCAGAAGAGTACTCCACCAACGGCACGAAAAAAATGCTCCGACGAATCTGAATATGATAGCATTTCTGGATCAGACGATGAGACCAGCACCACTAGCAGTGAGACTGAAAGCAGTGACACATCCTATTCATCCAAAGCAGGCAGAGGTAAGCGAGCAAAAGCTCGAATTCAGGCGGCTAAAAACAAAAACGATCAATCGAATTCAGATGAGGGCGGTAAGGATGTAAAAAATAGAAAACTTACCCGATCATTGAGTAACAGGCGGTCCCAACAACAACTGAAATCATCGGCTGGTGCAGGACAATTTTGTACGGATAGTGAATCGGAAATGGTCAATGGGGAAGCTGGGAAAAGGGGACATTGCAAGACACCAACCAAAAAGGCCTACCTTGGTCTGGGTGGCAGTTTGAGTAAATGTACTGTAAAGAAAGAGGCCGGCAATAATGGTTTTGCTCACATGCCACGAGCGCCGTCTCCACCTCAACATGAGAAACGTTGTCCCGTTGAAGGCTGTGATTCTTCAGGCCATTTAAGTGGAAATTTGGATCGTCATTTTCTACCAGAAGCCTGCCCTATTTATCACAATATGTCTGTGTCCGAATGTAAAGAGCGAGCCAATGAACGCAAATTAAGGGAGGAGGCACGAGCTAAGTTTGCCTCAAATACAAATAATCTGGATGGACAGAAAGTGGTGCCCTTTTCCAAACATACACAAACGCCCGAACAAAGAGAATTCTATAATAAAATCAAGGAGTCTCGGGCACGCTTTAAACCCATCGCCGAAGCTGTGAATAGCGATAAAGTCAAATTGGAAAAAGATTGTAACGATGATGATCGTGAATCGAATTTGGTGGGCCTAGTGCCGGACTATGATTTGCAACTGTTTCGTGATGCTCAGGCTTTGGCCAGTGAAAAGATTGAAGAAGAAGTAAAAGACTTGCCCATTGGAAAGGGTATAAAGTGAGTAGTTGTTACATACATGCGAAATTAAAACAAAACATTTTATTACATTCCCTATTTTTAAATGGCAGATATATCACCATGGGAAAATACAAAATGAAAGTCTGGTATCAATCTCCCTATCCGGAAGATGTTTCGCGACTGCCACAAATGTATATTTGCGAATTTTGCTTGCGTTATCAAAAATCAGAGACTGGTATTAAACGTCATGCTCAAAAGTGTGTTTGGCGTCATCCGCCTGGCGACGAAATCTATCGCAAGGGCAAGTTGCAAGTGTGGCAGGTCGATGGAAAACGTCACAAACAATACTGTCAACATTTGTGTCTTTTGGCGAAATTCTTTTTGGATCACAAAACCCTTTACTATGATGTGGAACCATTCCTGTTCTATATAATGACACTAGCCGACAACGATGGATGTCATATCGTGGGATATTTCAGCAAAGTAAGTATTGTAATGTAGTCATTTTTAAACGAATCCCAAAAAATCATATTCATATCATATCACTATCACTTCAGTAGGAAGAGTAATCAGATTTGGTTGTATCCAAACTATTTATTTCATAATTTGTTGCAATCAAAAAATGTTTGGAAACCCTTGACATTTTGTATAGATTTTAATTTAGTTTATTTATTAATACATTAAAAAGGCTTCATAACAAAATTAGATAAGAAAATATTTATTGTTTTTTAAATAGGAGTATTCCATGTCGTTAAAAACAAATTTGACTATACTTAAAATTATGTAATATCATATACAGTTTCAGTATAACAATTTTGAGTTATACTGAAATGTTGCTATGTTTCTTTTTTTTTTTTGTATTTCCAAATGGTTGTTCAAATCCTCACAGATCATGAACTTTTATGATCATGAACTTCTTCTGCTTCGCCGAAACTTTGAGTGCAATATTACTTGGGCTGTGTTCGAAAAAACGGTACCCTAGAGTAATGTTCCGAAACACAAACATTAACAAATATTTTAGTGTTACACCGATAATCGTAGTTTTCCACAGGCAGGTACCTTAAATATCTTAGTCAGCCCAAAATATCGGAATACCTCAAAATCATAATATTCCACTTGTCGAAACTCTAAAAATTCCACCGGTCCACTTGCCGGAACCCCAAAAAGTTGATGGTATTTTCCCACACATATTTTTATTTCGATATATGGAGTAATATTAAATCTTTATCTTTTTCTCGATTACACTGTGCAACACAAAAAATAATTATCGCGAAATTCCAACAGATTATGAAAGAGGGGCTAAAAAAAGAAGACACGTGTATCGGCGTTTTAAAAGTTTACGTCGGGTGGTAACCAAAAAAGGCGGGGTAATATTCCCCCTTTTCAAGAATTTTGATCATTTTCGAATTATGATTTCTTGAAATCCTTGCATTATAGGTATATAGTGTCTTCGGCAATATTACTGATAAAATATCGAGGAATATTTTGGTCTGCAACTTTAACCCTCAACCGACTCATTAAAGGGGTCTTTTCGTTCCCCTTTTCCAGGAGTGATTGAAAACTCATTCAAAACGGAGTTAAAGCTGCTCAGAATATTCAGTTTTACTATAAATCTCAGAATAGACTAAAACTCAAAAATCAGCCTAAACGTCAAAAATCTTAAAAAAACAAAAACTCATTTTAGGGTTAATATCGTACTTATTACTAGTTTTTACCCATTTTTCTCACAAGATGTCGTTTTAGAAGGATAGTATAAGGGACAAAAATATTCTCCATCAATTTTTAGCATAAGTCACTGAACAAGAGAAATCTGTATATACAATGTATATACCGAATATATAGTCATACATTTTGAACCAAAAATTCAAAATGTTCTTGTATTTTTTTTTTTCAAAGACATTTCCCAGTATTTTTTTCGAAAAAGTGCATTAAAGTAACATGAAACTTAATTCTAGGTATATAATGTCAAAGAATAAAATATTCTACGTCAAAATCCATTTCAAGTCTCAGAATAAACTATATATTTATATTCAATAGTATATCTAAATCTGGGCAGATTTCAAAAAAACTTCACAGATGTACAGTTTACGCTGTGCAACATATTGTCTGAATCGGACAAATTTTGGGAGTTCGGTGCACCGTTCGAAGTTCGAACGCAAATATTAATATATATGGAAGCTATTTCTAAATCTGAACCGATTTTCTCCAATTTCAATAGGTTTCGTCCTTGAGCAAAATAAGTGACTTGTGCCAAATTTCAGAGGCTCCAGAGGCCTCAATTATGACCCAAACATCGCTAAATTTTACACGGTGAAGGTGATCGGGCCAAAGAATAAGCATGCCTGTTTTGAAAGGATCGGTCAATATTTAGCGGGTCAAATGGACCCTGACTTTTGTGTGAAAAATTACAAAATGTGTATTCTATAGGCATAGACTTGAGAAGATGATAGTATATCCAAGAGGAGTAGTTGACCTATAAATTGTTACCAATTATATTGTCGTATGTACTCGGGTGTGGGAGTTCCACTGGAGGCATAAAATTTTTTAAATGTTATAATTATAGCCGAACATCACAACACACGGCGAAGGGAATACGGATAAGTTATTAGAAGGGCTTTACTGAATATTAGTAATATTCGGAAAATATGTCAGTGTAAGGAAGAGGTGCTGTTGACCTCTAATCGGACAAGAGGGTGCAACTATCACGAAATATTGTCCAGGCTAGGAATAAAAAAATCGCAGAAAGTTAGAGTGCCGTGGTAGTTGTGTAAAGTATCGTATGGTCAGTTCCGTTCGACTATACTGCTATATTTTTGTACATAGTATGTTTATTGTCAATTAACATTTACATTTTATATAAATTTAAAGTGAATACGGCACAAATATTCTTATCTATTCTAAAATCGGCTCCGAAAAACAACAAAATATGGACTACATCAAAAGCTACCAAATTTTCTTACAAATACTAAAAGGACTAACTAACATATAGTAGTTATTTCAGAAATACTATTTCATTATCTTCATTAGGCTGCTCTTACACTTACGATAACATATTTATTTAAATATTAAAAAAAAATAATAAAATAAAAGTCTATCACTATATCATATACTCCTAATGCCAAATCATTTATTATATTTTTTATAAATTATTATTATTTTTTACAACAACAACTAACTAAATCTACCTTCCTTTTCTTCTTTTCTTTTGTAGAGTTTGGTGAGTGTTTGAAAATTTGTGACTATGTGAATTAAAAAAAGAGTCCTGCTTGGATTTCCCACCCATTTGATGAGGTTGCTTGGTTGGTCGCGCGGTCTTACAATGTTTGCACCACAGACACACGCACACTTAACAATGGCACTGAATGCGATTTTGTTGTTGCTGTCATCGCCGCCGTTCTCGTCGTCGTCCTATGTTGTGCTGTGTGTATTCCTCTAGTGCGTTCTTGACCATACCCAAAAATATTCGATTAACATACCAAGTAAGAGTTAAGTAGTTTAGTCTGGAGTAGTCTTGTATCTTTTTTTTGTATACATACATACATCCAGACATGTATGTATATGAATGCATATTTATGTATATGTATACCAATCTGTATGTATGCACATACAGATGTATGTATATAGAATTTATGTTCTAAAGTTTTGTTTTTTTTTATGGATTCATTTTGTCTATGTGCAAAAATTTGTTGTTGTTGTCTGTCTGACTACAATGTCTATATTAATATGTACAATATATACATATTTACATTCAATGTTTGTATGTATATGTATGTGCGAATGAACAAAAAAAATGCATGTTTTACACTTCCCAAAAATGTAAAACCTTTTGTTTGAAGTACTTTAACCTAACTGCCAACAGCTGTACACCAAAAAAAAAAAAAAAAAACAGCAACAAAAATATAGGAGACATATCCACCCAGATATACAGCACAAAATTGTTGTTGTAGGACTTGCAAAATGCTGATTTTTTTCCAAAAAAAAGAGGTAAAAAACAAAAAAGGAACTGCAAAACACAGAGGAGAGAAATACACAGACGCCAAAAAAATAAGGTAGGGCAGGGCAATGTAGTGTAATGAAATGTGGCCCTCAAAGGGACGATGCCGTCAACAACAACAATGAATGAATCAACGACATGGAATACAGAACAGACTGGGTTTGTGTTACAAATTGCGCATGTCGTGCCGTTGACTTTTCAGTTCTACCCTCCATACCAGCCAGTACTTCAGTCATCATCAACAACATCATCATCATCGTCGTCGCACAGCACATATTTACGTACATAACAACTGTCTAGGATTTTTGCAACAGAACAAAAAATATGAACGCATTCGCACAAACACACACAGCGGCACATTCATTCACTCCTCTGTGTGAAGTGGTTAAACCCGTCTAGTACTTTAATCAGGCAATGCTCATAACAACAACAACAGCAGCAGAACTGTATTTAAATTACATATTAATTTTTAATATTTAAATACTACAAATAGAGAATTGAAATTGAACTAAAATTTGAATTGTAAGGTACGATGGAGTAATAACTCTATTTTATTTCAGTTTTAAATATAGTGTTGGGTTATATACATATTTATATATTATATTTTTTGGTAATATTGGTACGTGTTTAATCAAGTAGTCTGGGTGGGTAATATGGGTGTAGATAACATAGTTGTTGGAATTTTATTCTTATCATTTGGTCCTTTGTCTGCCGCGCATACATTTATCTTGATTTGGTTTGGGCTGTAAAGTTCATCCTTAGTAAATGATTGTGCGTAGTCGGCGACATTTGCTCTTTGGTATTGCTGCAAACGTAATGAGGTCGTGGACCTTTATAGCCATTTTAGGGTATGCAAACAAAGACATGCATGATATGTCTCCAGTGTCTCCTCCTCCCATACTGCACCGACAAATTTTATGGCAGGGTTTTTTATAAGCGCGTTGGAAATCGAATTACTGCTATTATATCGAAATTGGACTTAACAGGATTCGGGATTTACTATTTTTTATACAATATTGAATCTAAAAATTAATTTAAGGGATCTACGTCTAATTTGATGTAAAAATGGTTAAAAACAGGTAGAGGCAAAAGTTGTTTTGGTTATGTTTGTGTTTCACTTGATTTGTAAATGAGCCACACATTTCAAGGTCTTCATGTCAAGTAGGAGTTTACTATTAATATTTATTCCAGTCTCAATACGGATTCAGTAATATCCAATTATAGGATTGCTGGACTCGAGATTCTGTATAGTCTGACATATAATGTATTTAGCTTCACAGTAATATTTATACAAAGGCGAATATTGTATGCCATCAAATTTGTATACCCTCAGCCTTATGACTAATGAGTGTATATACATTTTGAGAAGGTGAAAATGTTCCTCATCGAAATATTGGTTTTAGACCCCACGTTTCTTTGGACCAAATCTGTTTCAGAAAATTTGGAGTCGAATTACAAATGCCCGCCCGTCCGTTGTCGGTCTATCTGTCTGTCTGGCTCGTGCGCACGATAACTCTCGAATGAATCAACCGTTTTCGTCCCATCTCGTTCCCAAACTAAGTTTAACTTCAAAGATGGGGAATATCGTTCCACTCCTTCTGGTACCTACACCACCCCCCCAAAAAAAAAATGGTTAAAATTGTGCTTAAAATTAATTTTATAATATCATGAACCAAACATATCCAACCTATTATCTTTATTAAGCCAAGATCAAGTCCAAAGATATGGGACCCATTGGCCCACTCTTTCTGGTACCTCCCCCACAAATGGTCGACATTTTCAATTTTTTAAGTCCAATATCAGGCGAATGGAATGTCCGATATGAACCAAACATTGCACCCACTCCTTCTGGTACCTCCCCCACAAATGGTGGACATTTTCAATATTTTTAAGACCAATGGAATGTCCGATATGAACCAAACATTATCTTTATGAAGTCTATATTAAGTTCGAAGAAGGGACCTATTGGTCCACTCCTTCTGGACCTTCCCCACAAATGGTCAAAATTTTCAATATTAGTAAATCCAATATCAAGCGAATGGAATGTCTAACAACCTATTATCTTTACCAAGAATAGATCAATTTTGAAGATGGGACCCATCGGTCCACTCCTTCTGGTACCTCCCCCACAAATGGTCAACATTTTAATTATTTATAAATGCAATATTAGGCGAATGGAATGTCAGATTTTTCTTTGCCGAGTCTGAATTGGGGAGCCCGTAGCCCACTTGTTCCTGTACCTCCCTCAGAAATGATCAATTCTTTATTAAATTTGATCCACATTAAATCGGAAACCTCTTTGATAAAAACATATTTCTTATATAAAGTTAATAATAAAATTTGTGTGTAAAAACTCCGCAAACCATAGGCTGGGGCTATATATCTGGGTAAAACCGACTGACACCTTTTTACTTGTTATAAAGCATATTTTTGAGGACAATTTCAATATATGTCGTTCCGGATAAAATAAAATCTTCTTCATACCACTTAAAAATTTCGTTAACTGAACTTTGTAAGCAATATATGCAACATGTAAATGTGACAGCTTTCGATATACCAGTTAATTTAAAATAACACATCTTTTTGGAAAACAATATTCATTATTTGATATTTTTCTTATCGCCAAGTATCTTGACAAATATCGATCGTCTGGCATTAATTCAACTCTATTCATGATCAACATTGGCATTCCAATTATTCGAAATGTCAGCCTAAAAATATGATTTTCAATATAAAAATTCGATGGGAGCTTAAGCATTACCTTTACTTTTCAAACATATACATCTGGAGTTAACGTCGTCCTCTACAATATGGATGTGAAAACCAGCAGATGGCCCCATTCCCCTCCCAAGTTTATTTATTTACAAAGATCGACGTTGGGGAAGATATAATTTATTTGGCAATGTGTACTGTAAAAACTTACATACACACATACATATGCAAGTGGTTACTCATACGACATGGGGTACTATATAATACCCCACATGGTACACATGGGTTTGAGTGTGGTGGATATTACTATAATGTCGTTTGTATATCTAATAAAGTGATGAAATTGTTGTTATTCTACTTTGCTGCTACAAAAGTTGTCGAAGTGCTGTTTTCATTGTTGTTGTTGCTGTTGTTGTTAATAATAATGCAGATAGTTTCATATGTACTTACTATATGTGTGCTTACTTGCTCCTTAGCTATATACACATGCCACCACACACACATACATATATACCAAGTTGTAGGGAGTACTATTAGTAGCAGTTGTAGTAGAATATGCATTCCTGCGATTCCATTTTTTTCTAATGCAGTCTGCCCAGCTTCAAAACATTTCGATTTGTCTGTAATCGGGAATACAACAAACAAAACACCACAACCATCCGCAACACTGACTGACAGGAGGCAACAGCAGCAGCCAAACACCCATCAGCAATAAAACCGGCAACAACTATACAAAGATGCTGGCTGGATGGCTGTTGTCCTTTAAAGTTTCATGTCTGGGTATGTCTGCCGCCTGGCTGTCTGTCCCTTTTATGTGTCTGCATCCTTTTTATGTACAATTTATGTATTATTCTGCGCACATTTATTTACAAAAGTTTCTCTGCGTCGGTACTACGAGAAGAAGGTGGAGGAGGACGACGACGACGACAGTACATACGTGAATGAATGGCTGGCTGGTTGACTGTCTGCATGGATGAATAGATGGATGGACGATGAAGGCGTCTAATGTGGAATGAGGTTGATGATGGGTACACCCAGACACATCGTCATCAACATCATCATCATCACTTTGCCAAAACGACAAGAAGATACATTTTAAAGGCACGGTCATTGAACTTCCGAAAATTGTATTTAAAAATTGTGGTAAGGTTATGTAGGATGACAAATGCTTTGTCTGGATGTGAAGGTGAATCATTCTTCGATCTCAAATTCATGTAATGACTACTTGGCTGGGTAATCGTTTCTCGTTTTCACGTGTTTTATTACTTATTATCACTGAAGGATCAAAAACACAATTAAACAAGATTGTGAAAATAAAAAAATGTTTAATGAATATCGGAAAGATGAGCATCTTATATATTGTAGGTATAAATTTTCATAACCTCTCATTATGAATAATATATATAATATAAGATATACAATATAATATTAATACTGAACAGGAACTATCTAACTATTTTTTTTTAGATTCAGATCAAAACAGAACATTTAAAACGCAGGTGACAGACAGCGAATTAAAAATCAGCACCTCAATTTGCAAAAAAAAAAAATGAAATATGTAAACTTGTGTTTTGTGTAATAATAATTTATTTGGACTTTCAATTTCAGGAGAAAAATTCATTTTATAACGTATCCTGTATACTCACCCTGCCGCCATATCAAAGGAAAGGTTATGGAAGATTACTCATTGACTTTAGTAAGTACCAAAAACAATTTTTTATATTAACATAAATATTAATAAATATTAATTGTAGACTTATAAGCTACAATTCTACATTTTATTTAGGCGTGAAAATAATATCACGATTCTATAAAGATTTAATGCTGGCAATCTATAATGAAAAGTTTAAGGTAGGTTATTCGTAAAGATTGTGGAGGTAATCGTCTAAAAAGCTATTTTTGGTTCGTATATAAAAATTGCCTTCCTGCTTGAAAAAATCGTTTCGGTTAGTGCTAAAAATGTTGTTATATATGTATTTATCGTTTATAAGCGCTAACTTACTTAGCTGGCTTGTGACAGAACATTTGTTCCATAAGCCAAGCTTAAAAAAGATTTCCTTTCCAGGCGCGACGGTCTTGTGCGCAGCTCTTCCAATTTGAAAGACCATGTTTCGAGATGTTCTCTTTCATTTGATCTTTCCATTTAATTCGCAGCCTTCCCCTTCTGCGTGAACCATCAGTAGGCTCGCTTTTATATGCCTTTTGTGCTGGGATATCCTCATCCCTACTCACAACATGACTTAGCCAACGTAGTCGTTGTAACTCGATATGTCTGACTATGTCGATGTCCGAGAAAAGTGGGAAAACACATGGTTCATATGACGGCGATATTCACCGTCAACGCAACGCATCGGCCAATAGATCTTTAGGAGAATTTTTCTCTCATACACTCCTTGCGTAATTACCTATGATTCATATCCATATAAAAGCACGGGTAGTATCAGCGTCTTGTATAGTGTGAGTTTGGTCTGGGTGGACGTTGTTTCTAAACTGTCTACTTATACCATAGTAGCATCTGCTGACCAACACTATTCTCCTCCGAATTTCAAAACAGATGCCATGAATGTTATTTATGGCGGTACTAAGGTATATAAAATCTTAGACTACCTCGATGCTGTAGTTCTCAAGTCAACTGGACGTCTTGGGCGTTGATACCATCAGCTTGGTCTTCTCGCCATTTACTGCCAGACCCACATTGACATACTCCTTCTCAGTTTGATCAAAGGCGGCTGTTACTGCTCGCAATGTTCGACCCATTATGTCGATGTCATTGGCGTAGACGAGTAACATCTGTTTTGTGGTGTACAAAGTGACATTCCTGTTCACCTTTGCCTCCCGTATGATCTTTTACAGCAGGATGTTAAAAATATCACACTACAATTATCACCTTGTCTGAATCCTCGTTCGGTATTAAAGAGCTCCGATAGGTCCTTTCCGACTTTAACTGCTGACCATGTGCCAGCACTTTATATGCGATATTAAGAAGACTTATTCCTTTATTGTTGCCACAATCGTCTTGCCTGCTTTTTTGTGCACGGGACACAGGATGCTGAGGTTCCAATCATTGGACATGCATTCCTCTAGACAAATTGTGCTAATCAGCTGGTGCATGTTCCTGACCAGCATCTGGCCACCGGTGTTGAATAGTTCGGCTGGAAATCCATCGGCACCTGCTGCTTTATTGTTCTTCAGCCGATTTATTGCTATTCTGACCTCATGGCTTGGCTAGGTGGTATACAATCTAATCCGTCATCTCTTATTGGCTCTGGGGTAACTTCTTCACCGCCACTATTTCATGCCAGAAGCTTTCTGTACCAAAGCCTTCGGTTTCGTGTTTTGTTCGTTGCGTCTCGATTCGCTCCCGCTCACGTTTTTCTTGTTCTTTTTTCTTTATTCTGAAAATATAAGCGCTAATAATCATTCAAATACAGATGTGCATACAAACGATATGTACTGTATAACACTTGGCCCAGGATGTCTATATTCTAATCACCCGAGAGCGATGTCTATATTCTATAGAAAGAGCGAACATATCTACTGTAAAGTAACCATCCTGTCATTAATATTTGCTTTCGATTGTTTTAATGGACTAGTAAATTAACATAAACTATTAATAAGGGTTTTACCTTGGTCAGAAGCTGTTGTAAATCTCTACCAGGAGGTTTTTCATCCTCTAAGAATACGAAATACCAAATTGCAGACACTCATGTTGGAAAGTGCATCTAGGAACTTCACCATACCGAAAATGGACAACAAAGAGCACTTCGATGGGAAAATGTGTCGAAATCGTCAATATTCCGGAAAATTTTGTGGCTACGTTATATGGTGGCTATACCAAAACGTGGACCTACTTATCCAATTGTTAACACCAAACATTATAAGAGTAGTATCATATGTATGCAAATTTCATTTCATTGCGAGCCCTATTTTTTGATTTCAACAGAGAGGCGTACATGTTGAAACCACTTTTATTCCAATGAAGAATATATATCGTTTTTGGGATCTTCCATGAATATTTACAGGTTTTGAAAACGCAATAACGAATTGGATATACACTCCTCCTAATGGTGGAGGCCGGACTCGTCGATGAAAGAATATACTCTTCTAGCAATGGGTCCATTCAGCTCGACCCTTGAAGCCTCCTAGGCTCGTTCATTAAAGATTCTCTTCAGTTCCTCCTCAAAAGACTGCCTTCAGCTTCTCTATGAAATACCCCATTCACATCCTTCTCGTTCGGTCAAGATATACTGAACAAAACTTAAAACCCTACCTTACATTTTTGGAGATCAGACCTTTGTGTTTAGTTGTCTATGTTCCTAAGTATACATACATATATACACACATATATGTGTGTGTATGTATCTCCTCCAAAAAATCCGATTCTAAAAATAAATATTTTTCGTGAAAATTTATTGCAAACAATTAAAAATGCCTTGCAATCACTCAGTCAGTTAGTCTTTCATTCATTTGTTCGTCTGTCTGTCTGTGTGTTGTGTTGTACGTACGTGTGTTTGTTTGTTTATTCGTTTCATTCATTCCACCGCCATCAAATTCTGTTATATTTTTCTTTGCTTTTTCGTTTCTCATTTGATATTGCTGCTTGCTTGCCTCGTGTATGAATGAGTGTTCGAATGTAGACATGTCTGTGGCATAACGTATACCTTTCCGTATTAATGCCTGCAGACAAAGCCAGACAGTTTAAGAGCTATTCTCAGCCATTAGAAACGGAGCGGGAGATTGGGGCAGGCCAGGAAACCAAGAAATAATAATAAGACCAACAACAACGACAGCAGCGAGGAAAATCAAACAATGAAAATTATGGAAGAAAGCAATGCAAACTAACTACCCTGGGCGAAAACAATACATACAGACATTTTGGCCAATATGAGAAGTGGTCAAGCAAAGCGTGGCGACTAGACATCCAGACTTAGCAGCAGTCCTCAGACCACACACATACACTCATTCGCATACATCGCAAAACCCCCCATCGTTCGAAACAAAACAAAGGGAGAAACTTTTTAAGTGACATTGACCTTAGACGACATTGCCTGTTTATTTGTTGTTGTTGTTGTGGTTGTTGCAGCAACGATTGCATGTACCGGGAATACCACACAAAGCAAAATAAAGAATAGCAACAGCAGTAGCAGCGGTCGTCAGTCGATTGTTCGTTCGGCAAAAGAATATTTTGCTCGCCCATTGTGTGTATGCATGTGCCGGGAGTGCGTTCTCAACTCATATGGGTAGCTCGGCGAGCTGCCCAGCCAGCCAGCTAGCTAGGAAATTTCACAAAAATATGCTATGAACACAACAAACTAAGAATTTGACAATGATTTTGCCTAACATCGTCATAAGTGGTAGCGACGATAGTAGCCATCGGTGAAAACCCGAAAAAGTATCGGCGACGTTTTGTGGCCGGCCATTCATGAATTTTTGGGTTTGGGTTCGCTGGTGCATCGGCTGTGCTGTTCTGTGCTGTGAGGGGTGGGTTGGTGTTGCAATAATTTGACAACAACAAAAATTGAATTGTTTATTTGCCGCTTGGTTGATATTCGTGGCGAAAATTCGCAGTGTTCGAGCACATTGTACACTGACTGCAATGCATTCGTGTTGCTAACCGCTAACCGTTGATGTTCAGACGTGCAGACATGTGTGTATATGGGAGGGAGGGAGGTAGGTAGTGAATGGGTGTGTGAGTGCTGAGGCATGCAATGAATTGAAGAGGTAGGTGTTTAGGGAGGGGTGTTACTATCAGACAATACACAAAAATGCATATATATATATATATATATATATTTAGTCAAAGAAACCCAGACAGAGAACTATTGATCTCAGTTCCTGGAATAATCTGTACGATATATCTATACGAAAAAATGCAACTCTATACCCAATTATTTTATTTGCAAGTAAAATATATTGTGTTTTCTTGAGATATAAACTAATTATAGAGGGATATATTTGCAGAATTTTTGTAATACAAATAGTTCTAGGGAGTTGTCGTAACTAATTTGTATTAACTGATTCTTGAAAAAATACACGAGTCTACATAAATTCGCCAAAATCGGAAATTATCTAATGATCTATTAATAGTCGCCGTCAAATATCCTTCCTATTGCAAGGTAGGCACTGAAAAATACATACGGCAAACATTGCTCCGAGTCGGAATTAACTTATCGTAGAGATGTCTCGCAGCACCCACTTTCGCAGAAAATTCTAATGTCCAAATATTCTTGAGTACCTGCTACTCCAAATAGTGGATTGCTTCACATTCAATTTTACTGCAAGATCGCTGCAAACCATTTCGGTTTCGTCCTCTATGATACCGACTATTGGTTGATTTTCCAGGAACAGTGTCCGTAAACGTTTTATCAAATCATTTTTGATATAGTTACTTAGGCTTGTCGCAGAACATTTGTTTCGTAAAATAGATATCCAGGTGCGTCGGCCTTTTGCACATTTCTTCCAATTTAAAAGACCCTGTTCGGCAATGTTGTCTTCTACTTGATATTTCCATCTAAATTGTGGCCTTCCCCTTCTGCGTGAACCATCAGCTGCCTCGCTTTTATATGCCTTTTGTGCTGGGGCAACCCTTATCCATTCTTACAACGTGGCCTAGCCAACGTAGTCGCAGTAGTTCGATACGTCTGACTATGTTGATGTCCGAAAATAGATGAAGCTCATGGTTCATTCGACGGCGAT